CTGATATCAGAGACTCTGAGGAAAAGAGGAGTGGGGTTGAGGCAAGAAGATGTGGGGCTGAGGAGATGTGGGGGAGGTGTCTTTACCTCATTTAAGTGGTAGAGTCCAGCTGGGTAATAGGAGTGTGTTCTCCCTTCCTTTCTTACTGCCTTCTCTCTGCCGCCACACTTGACACCAAGCCTGACACAAGGTGAGGGCCAGGCCCTTTTGAGGCAGATGTTCAATATTGTAGCAGACTGGAGAAGGGGAGGAGGAAAAGGAAATCTCAGGCAGTTGTGCTGGGTGAGAAGAGGGAAGAGTTTCTGTTGCTACTAACCTCGTTATTAAGCCTAGTTCCCAACTAGCTATTTGTGTGCAAGAAAAATACATAAATGTGTATATGTATGCAAGTGTATGTGTAGAAGAAGAACAGGGAGCAGGGTTTAATACCTCTAGTTACTCAAACAATTGTCATTTCCCTGTTGGTACAAGTCTACGTTTGTACTGTCTTTGTTATTATGAATGATGAGATGTATAATGAATGATGAGATGAATAATGAATGAAAGAGGTGTATAGGATTCAAAAGGCTTTAGAGTTTTAAGGGCTTTAATGGTAATTTAGAAACCCCAATATCACTGCTAATCACAAAGTTTTCTCGGCCTGTGTCTTCATTATCTCTTACAGCTGCCTACTCTTCTCCATCCCCAGCAGCACTGCCGTCATACGCTATTTGTTACTTGAATTACTTCTTTACTACATGTGTTCATTTCCCTTAGTTTCCATCTTCCTCCTCTGATTCACACTGCAACCAGGGTGAGCATTCCTGAAGACAAGTATGATTATGCTATTCCATTGCTTAAAATCCTTCTGTGGCACCACATCACCTTAAGTGGAAAATCTAACCCCCTTAGCATAGGTGCATTAGTTCTACGATCCAAGGCCTGCTTCCTCCTTTGCACTCCTCAGCTGCATGTTCTCAGCTCTTTAGAGACCACAGACTTATAGCTGCCAGAACTTTCCTGGCAGTCTCTGGTTTCTGCACCATAGAGTGTTCTTTATTTGGAACATACGTTCCCTATTATTTACCCAGTTATTCTAAGTAATTCAGAGCTCAGGTTAGGTGCCACTTCCCCTACAAGTGAGCTGAGGAGGACTTCCATGTTCCCTCTAAATATGTTCCTGTCATGGCCACCACCATTATGTATTTGTATTATTTTTATCAATATTATTAATTATTATTAAATTTTATTACCATTTATTCCCTTTATTCTCTCCGATTGCTAGATAATGAGTTCCCTATGGGGAGAGACTATATTCTGAGTAAAAATCTCACTGCATAGATGGTACCCCCAAAATAATGAAGTGTAGAGCCCTTCTGTGTTATACTTGAGAAACCAAGGTGCAGAGAGAAAAAGCACCTTGCAAGTGATCACACAATATTTAGAGGCAGAGCCTACCTTTTTGTCTAGTGTTTGTTTCCCTCTCTCAGAAATTATAGACTCAGGTGTCTATAAGGGCCAGATAGACAACATATATGAGAAAAGTGGACTGTCTTTTTCAACAACATTCGGTAATTTTTCTGGAACGTATGCTTTTTTTACACTCTATTTTCTATGAAAAAATATTTTGGTACACGAAATATTTTATTTTTCTCTTAAGCTACCTCATAAGAAAAAACAATAGTGTGAAGGTAATGGTTATAGTGTGACTTGATGAATTATAGATTAATGTTTTTTCTTCTTTGTGGTGCTATAGGAGTTTGTAGATACATAAATGTGGCATTTCTCATATTATAGTTTCAGTTTTTGGATTCATGACCTAGCTTAGCACTCAAAATCTGCCTACCTTTCCAGTTTCATTTCTAGTTGTTGAACCCCTTACTCACATTTATGTACACAAATACATACCCTAAGCTCCAACTTTACTAAACTGGGGTTCCCCAACATACCATTTTTAATGTCTCTCTTTCTCTCTCTTTCCTTCCTTTCTGCCACTTCTGCTTGAATCAGCTTCAGTGTCTGGCCTTCCATCACTCATTCTTATTGTTAGATGCTCAGTGAACTCCCACCTCAGAACTCCTAAGTTCAAAAGGTAGACTTTCCATGGGGCATGTGTGTGTGTATCCAGAGTACACAAGTACTTTAGCAAGTATGTTATTCAACTGCCCCAATTTGAACTTGCTTAGAATTCTCTAATGAAGTTAAAGCACAGTCCAGGATTAAATTGTGTGGTTCCAGGATTTTCAAGTGACGTACTGCCTTTGGTATCAAATTTGACTAAACTTGATAATTTTAATGCCATTCGACTCTTTTCGGAAGGAGGAATTAAATTTCTTACCCTGGAGAATGAATTTTCCCCTCTGACTAAAGAATCGAAGATTTATAAATTTAAAATTATGTTGGTGACCTAAAAGGGAGAACTGTACTTCTTGTTCCTCAGCAGAAGCAGGTTTAGGGCATTACTGGCATGTGATATAAATTGAATAATTGAGCAACACTGACTTCTTAGGGATTCAGCCTCCCAGCCGCTGCTGTGTGATTAGGTCTGTATGACTGCTGGCATGCTTGAGCAGGGAGCTTGCAGAGGATCAGGAAGGAAAAATTCATGAGCAGATCTCAGGTACTGAAGAGATTTGATTTAATTTTACATGTTACACATAGTAATCTGGTTTCCCTTGGCAACCTCCAGTTTGGTCCTACTGTATAATCAGAGGATGACAGGAAACATTGCATACTTGATGGCATCACCTGGAACCCGCTGTTGAGAAGAGTTTGCCTCAAAAGAGGAGAGAAAAAGGTTACTGAAAAATAACAGATGAACCTGAGTCCCCTTAAAGAGGGGACAGATAAGGTAGTTCTCTATAGCTCAACTGCTCCAGAGGATCTCATTGATGAGGGAGGTTCCAGAACTACCTATAGGAGAGCAGTTTGGATCTGAGGGAGAGGGATCAAGTCTTGTCAATCTTTTAAGGGATAATAATTTTATTATTTGTGAATTGCAGGTAAGGTTTTAATTTTAAAACAACAGTAGTTACTATTTATTAAGTACATGCCAGGAATCTTACTTGGTTCCTCACATACATACATAATTTCATTAAATCCTTACAATATGCCTGCAAGGGGAATATTAAAATCCCATTATAGATAACAAAACTGATACTTATTGATTTCTTAAAGTATGGAGGCTGAAGGAAGGTGGGGCAACATTGACTACAAGGTTGCGGCTTTAGGGGATAATTATTCTTTTTTTAAAAATTATTATCTCCAAGTCCTGTAAATCTTAATAGCCTCTATTATAAAACAGTGTACTAACTAAAGTTTACTGATGGAACTTTAACCATTCAGAAATTTTAAGTTGTAATTATCTTTGCTTAATTCTCTCATATTTACACACTAGGAAATTAGGTGACAGAAATTTAGGAAATCCCAAAGCCAGGTCTTCTGACTGCTAGTAATTTGTATATTATACCATGTCCATAGACTTTTTTTTTAAAAATATTTTTTATTGATTATATTATTATAGTTGTCACAATTTTTTCCCCTTTGTCCCCCTGTGCCTGGTACCCCCTTCCCTCCAGCAATCCCCTCCCTTAATTCATGTCCATGGGTCATGTGTGTAAGTCCTTTGGCTTCTCCACTTCCTGTGCTATTCTTGACATCACCCTGTCTGTTTTGTACCTACCAGTTGTGCTTCTTAATCCCTGTACCTTTTCCCCATTTCTCCCCCTCCTCCCCAATAACTGTGCATGTGATCTCCGTATCTGATCCTGTTCCTGTTCTGGTTGCTTAATTTGTTTTTCTACTTTCAGTTGTTGATAGTTGTGAATTTGTTGCCTTTCTAATGTTGATAGTTTTGATTTTCTTTTTCTTAAATAAGTCCCTTTAACGTTTCATGTAGTAATGACTTGGAGAGCCATCGTAAGGAAAAAACTAGCTGTACTTTTTGGCCAATCCAATAGACAGACAGACAGATAGATATAACTTGGTCTGGAGGTGGATATGAGTGATAATGACTGGCCAGTGATAGAGACAGTATATGGTATTTTATTGACTTACACATGTATGCTTATGTTACCTTCACAAAATGCTTATACCGAGGAGGATATGTCATGATTTTTCTTTAAGGTAAAAGCTACAGTAGTCTAATGGCAAACTGAGAAATTCTAGTGTCACACACTTACTTTGCAAAGCATTTTACCTGAATTTTATTTAATCTTCATAATGACTGTGATTGTAAATGTTATTTCTTCATTTTAGCAATTTTCTCAGTTTTTTAATTAATTGTTCCCAGAAAATTCTCCCTAATATTTTATTATAAGAATTTTCAAACATACAGTAAAGCTGAAAGAATGGTACAGTGTACACCCATATACCCACCTAGATTCTACAATTGTTACTATTTTCCTATATTTGCTTTATTATGTATCTAGCCATCAATTTATCTACCACCCACCTTGGTTTCCGTTGTATTCCAAAGTGAGTTATAGCTCTGGCTGGTGTGGCTCAGTGGATTGAGTGCCAGACATTATTAACTTTTACTCCTACACACTTATATGTGTATATTATTAATTAGATACAGTTAAAAATGTTAGCTCTATTAAAAAACAAAAACAAAACTAAGCCTTCAAGTCTGTATTTTAGAGACATAGTATGTACTCAGTTACTTTGGGCCTTTCCCTGTGAAATAATGAGATATTTTCAGAAAAAATGTAAGCTGCTCATCTTAAAAAACACTTATACCTCATTAATGAGAAATAGAAATCTGTAGGGAGGTGGGGGATACCCCTGTTGAATTCCTGGGCCCACAGCAAACCAGTGTTGCAAAGTGACATCTTAACTTCATTTCTGATTTTAAGTGAGTTTGAGGTCACTGCCACATTTCCGAACACTAACTCCTCTCCCAAAAAGGGGAGTTTGATTAGCAAATTAGTTAAGCACTTTAGTAATGATGTTGGAACCTAATTTCAATAAACATTTTTTCCCTTTTCTCTTGTTTCTGGGTGTGACTAAATTGCCTACAGCATGCTGCATGGTTGCTGGTAAAACAGGAAATGGGGTAAGTAACTTAGGTAGGGAATTTTTAGCACCATTTAAATATAAGCTACCTGATTCTTAAAGTACTTTTACTACTACTATCTCTTTTTATAGAATAAGTTCACTAACTACTAGAGAAATTGGCACAAAGAAAATTTTTATAGTATAAATTTAGGTGTCAACCTTGCTTAATTGGTTTATTTGCATAGCATGGTGTAGCAGTCTATGAAAAGATCCATTTTTTTTTGTAGATTTAACAATAATGTAAATATATATTTTATGTTTATTGGTCACTTATATACTGTAGTTTGGCAAGTTATTTTAAAAGAATAACTTTTATACTGATTTTAGAAACTAAGTTTGATAAACAAAGCCTGTGAACAGTTTACATGTACAAGTCAGTGTTTGGTTGTCAGCTGAACTAAGAAAAAAATTTTAATTGTCCAGAGCTTTTTGGATTTTAAAACTAAAATTTCTATACCAATATGAAAAGGGTCATGTGACTGCTGGAGGTGCCTGTGTACATTGGAAAGAAAAGTTCAGAGAGAAGTATAGAGTTCTGAATTAAAATCTGGTACTTGGTTAAGCGATTTATTTAAAATAATTGATTTGGCTTTTTTTAAATTTTTTTTAAATTTTTTTTTTACTTTCACACCTGCATTTTAAGGGGGTAATAACTACATATATATCAAAGGTTTTGGAGTTTAGTTAGTTAGTCTCAAATGCTTGTGATTCTGGCATAATAAAATTTGATACTATATTTGAGACATGTTTTAGTGTAGAGAACACGGTATTTTCTTTTTTTCTGTGTGTGTGGGTTTGCTGTTATTGTTTTAATTTGACACGAAGGGAAAAGAGGTCACTGACTGAATAGCCAGGTATTATATGTTTTATTATTATTTATAAAAAATTTTTATTGTTCAATTACAGGTGTCCCCGATTTTTCCCCATTGCTCTCCCCTGCCCTGCCCGCCCCCCTCTCCCACGTTCAGTCTTCCTTCCCGTGTCCTTGTCCGTGGGTCCTTTATACATGTTCCTTGGCTTGACTCTTTCCCTTCTTTCTCCATCATCCCCCTCCCTGGTCGCCTCTGGTCACTGTTGGACATGGTATTTTCTGACTTTTCCAGTTTCCATCCATATTGCTTGTGAGTTGCTGTTGTTACACCTTATTGAAGGATTTTAAACTAAGCTTTATTAGTTCTTCAAAAAGATCTTGTCTAATATAGGGAAATAGGAACAGCCAAAATATAGAAAGAACACTAATCTTTATCCTCAGTGTCCCTAGGTCATTTTATGTTCAAAAGACTGTGGAGTAATTGCCATTAAATAACTAGTTCAAGGAATTCAGAAAAAATTAATTGTGTTGGATATTTTGGTTCATCTTTGCTCTAGTTGGTAGTCATGTTGTATCTATAGCAACAGTGATTGCAATGGACATCCTCAGTAGTAGTTACCTGACAGAGGAGGGAAATGCAGTTACTAAGTACTAAATCGAGACTGAATTTACCTTAATTCCTCTGAAGGACCATCAGGCATATGCTAGGGACCTCTGTGAAAACATTTACCCTAAATTATACTAGAAAAGTTATTAGCCACATTCAACTTGCAGGACTGAAAATCTGGCAATTTAAATACTGTATTTTTTTCCTTATATATAAGGTTGAGGTTTCCAACATGTCTGTTAACCCTTTTCCCTAGCTCTTTAATTCAGAAGGAAAAAAATACACATAGTTGAAGGTTTTTTTTTTTTTTAAACTGGACTGAGAAGTTCTAAATACACTTCAAAGACTATGAAGGATTTAAATGACCAGTTTTCTGCCCTGGGCAGGTGGCTCAGTTGGTTGGAGCCTCGTCCCACACACCAACAGGTTGTGTGTTTGGTCCCTGGTCAGGGCACAGGCCTAGGATGTGGGTTTGATCCCCAGTTGGGATGTGTACAGGAGGCAACTGATGGATCAATGTTTCTCTCTCACGTTGATGTTTCTCTCTCTCCCCCATGCCTTCTTTTCTCCCTAAAAACAAAAACATCAGTAAACCTACTCTTGGTTGAGGTTTAAAAAAAAAATACCAGTTTTCCTAAATACATAATGAGTAATGTTTTAACCCATTTTTAGGATTAACTTTTGCTGCAGCCCTTTGTACTCTAGGATACAATCAATTTTTTAAAAGATTTCCATTCTTGTGTTCTCTGTTTCAACTTTTTGTCCTTTAAAATGTATTCTCATTCACTAATTATTCACCTTTCAATTGTGATGCTTTTTATCATTAAACTATTGATGCAATGCCAAGATAGTCTTAAAATACCTAAAAATGTTTCTGATATTTAGGGAATCAGAAACAGTATGAAGCTCAAACACTTAGTGTTTAAATAAGTTCTTGAATGTAGAGAAATAATTTGATTATTTGTCAGGTGTAGGGCTTATCTGGGTATTTCATTGTTAAACCACAATACCAAAGCATATGAAAGCATTCCTTGTAACCAGTTACATTCTCAGCTGATAAGAATGAGTTAGAAAAACTCTTCCTTAATTTACATTTTTAAAGGAACAATGGTCTTTATATATTTGTTTTTTAAAGATCAATAAAATCTGGCCATTAGCTAAATTACTTTTTTGTTTTTAACCTCCAGTTAGTATTTTCTTTTGGTCTTGAAGAATTAAACTATAATGGATATTGACTATAAGTAGTCATTTCTATCAGTGAAAATTAGACATTTAAAGAAATGAGTCACAAGTTGGCCCTTAATATGTCTTTTGTTAAAAGTAGCCCTGTGAGTAACCATAAGACTGATTTGAAGTTTTAAGTATATGAATGATATGGGCTTGTTGGTTTATTATTGATACTGCAGTGTTCTCAGCAGAGTAGAGCAGTTTTAATATCATAACATGTTTTTCTTTCCTCTTACATCAGATCCTTTCTATAACAATTTAGGTTACAAACTAAAAGCTAGAAATCATAATTGGGGCTTCCCCAAACCTATTTATTGGCTCATGAGTAGATTTTGGGAGAATGTCAGATTTTTATTCAGACATTTATCTGCTATTAAGTTGGTGAGCATTTCAGAACATTGATACTTTAGGATTTAATATTTCTTCTTCAACAGTAAAGAAAAGTACAGCTTTTACACTGATTTCCCAAAAGTAAGTTTCATTATCAAGAAGAGAATAGATACAAACAATTTTAGTCTGGATATTGTAAAACGCAGTTTTGTAGTTTCTGAACAATAAACAATCCTCTCCATTCCACCTTTCTGTTTTATAATGTATTATATAAATTCTGGAATCTGGCAATTCTAGCTCAGAAAAACTCATTAGTGTGCTTTTTGTTTTTGAAACTTTATAAACTCTCCTATTTGCCATTTTAAAAAGTTTCTTGATTTTGCTAGAATATAAGGCCCATGAGCTCATGAATTTTTGCTTTGTTTTCTACTTTTTATCTAATGTGTGAAATAGTGCCTGGGACATAGTAGGCAGTTAATAAATATTTTTTAATAACTGCATAATCTCTTGTTTTTAGTAGAAAAAGTGAAGTTTTTCACATCAGTGAATTAATTTTTGTTATTCAGAAAGCAGAATCTATCGCTGGGACGAAATGACATAGTTCAACTAAAAGAAGCCTACAAATGGATAACTCAGCCCCTGTTTTCAGAGGAACTGGGTGTTCCCATTGATGGAAAGGTATTGGGTCATCAGAATTGTTAATTTTGTTCTCTGGTTTTACTTCATTATATGGTAAAGGTATGGTTAGCCAAAAGAATCTTCTCTTTAATCCAATGAGTGATTTTTTAAGCCTTTAAAATGTTAATTTCTACCAGTCTTAAATTGAGGTTAAAGTTTTTCTTTTTTTCTTTTTTAAAGACTTCTTTGTGATCCAAGACTTAGAAGTGTAACAGGTGCAGTGTACACTAATTGACCTTAAAAGGTTAGAAATGAATCTAAGCCTTTAATATATTTACATTTTAATTGTAGAGATGGGTTTACTGATACAAAGCAATATATAAATAACTGAAAATGTGTAGAGTCAACTCTAAACTATTTAAATTTCCTTATCTGTGGCTAATCTTGTTTTTAAATAAACAGACAGAATCTACTCAACCACAGTGATCTTAGGCTTAGTCTGTGCCACCTTGTTGGTGTTTCAAGTCTCTCTGTTTAATGTTAGGCAGAGACTGCTTTTGAAACCAGACCACTTAGCCATCTCCCCTGGTCCAGAGAAGATCTTGCCTCAGTATCCGGAATGGATTGAATTTTAGGGACGAGATCAACAAGTTTCCAGATGTGGGAACAGAGCATATTCCTAGTTCATCTTAAATTAGATTTTAATAGTATGGTCATTTTGAGTCGTCATTTTGCTTGAAGGAAATTCCCCGAATGTCAGACACACCCCTATTCAAGTAAAATCATAAAACCATCTTTCAAAACTAAGACTTAAAAATTTTTTTCTTTCCCTATTCTGAATTATATAGCTCTGTCTCCCTCAGTTAGTAAGAATAAACTGACTGTCCTTTAAACTGAATACTGAGAGAATAGAAAATAAAGCCACCACAGAGAGTATAAAGAGGAAATGAGGTAATGAAAGTACTTTGGAAATTAGAGAAGTCATTGATGCAAAATATTTTTACCTCAGGTTTTACTTTTGAAGCACAAATAATTTTCTTACATGTTGAATCAGAACAGAAAATAGAAAACAAAGCAGTGATAATGTTCTAATAGATTCAGAAGGACTGAAGTTTTCTTGAGTAAAAAGAATGGGTTGTAATTTTAATTTTATTTTGTAGATTATAATAGAGAGCAAAAAAAACTATTCACCGTTATGATTCCAGGGTAGCTATTAGGCTTGCTGACAATTTAATGCAATCAGTAAACACAGTACTCAATGAAAAAGATTGTTGTTACATGGTATGACATTCCTATCTTTTTCTCACTGTGGAATTTTATATATTCTTTGTGGAAGTCAATGTACAAGAGTATGAAATGAAATTGTGCTTCTTTATGTACAAGGATGTTTATTTTAGGATTTTTAACAATAGAAAAATTTACTACAACTAAAATATCCAATAGTCCCCAGAGTTGAAAACATGTCCATCACCTAATATTCACTGAAGAAAGCAATTATCCAAAAATATGTTTAAAATTCCAAAAAGTATATACTGTACACTTATGTTTATATTCATAAAAAGAGCTTGAAGGAAACATGCCAAACTGTTACTAGTTCTTCTCCCTCAGTTGAGTGGGATTGAAAATCCACCCTGTATTTGATTGTTTTATAATTTGTATGTATTGCTTTTGTAAAAAGAAAAAAACTAAGATCTCTTTTTTAAAACTCAAATTTTTAAGAAGTTTGAGCACTTTATAAAAGCCTCATGCAGAGTTTTTAAGCATGTGAATAAAATGGTTTTTGCTTTGCTAATAATTCTAATCATGTAGTATTGACTGGAACAATTCAACATTTCTTTTGGTTATCTCTTTCCAATTCCCTGAATTCTCATTCACCTTCATACCTAATTTATATACACGTACAAAAATCATACAAATTTATTTTAAAATTTCTTTTTAACTTGTTTTTTGGTAGGATCACTGGTGATTGAACTTTAGAAGTTAAAAAAAGAAAAAAAGATGATTTCCTTTTCAGCTGCTTTGTGAAATAGTAGTATTTCCAGTTTTTCTTGCCACTCTTTTTCTGAGCCAATCTTTGAGAGTTAATTTCAATTTCCATTCATAAGTTGTTAGATGTTGGTTTCCTTTTGCTCATATTTAAACTGTCTTTATAATTTTTAGAGCCTGTTTGAAGTGAGTGTGGTCTTTGCTCACCCAGAAACAGTTGAGGATTGCCACTTCCTGTAAGTTGCAACGTAAACAACGATGTCGATTGTGTAACATTGTTAATGCTTTTTGGCTTTCATGAAAATAGTATTGCTCCTCTTTCTAATCAGTGTATCTGAACTTGTCATGTCTTAGTAGGTTTAAAATGTACTAACATAAAGGTCTAGGCAAACTAATGCAATTTGTATAGGGAATTATTTTGTCTACTCCTGATATCCTGTGTTTAGCATACATGTTGTATGAAATATATTTGAATTATATCCATCCCCCCAAAAACTTATTAACCTTTTATATTAACTTGAATTTTACTTAGACGTGCAATATGTCCAGATTGTTTCAAGCCAGCCAAAAACAAACAGGTAAGGATTCCTGGTTCTTATTCTTCAGTGAGTTTTTTCTGAGCTGAATATTCAAACTAACAACAACAAAAAAAGGTTTGCATTAGTAATGTGGCAATCTATTCAGAATCAGTCTTTAAATCGTTCCATTTTCTACATTTGTTTCTATTTTTTTCAACTCTCAACACCTTTGCCTCTGGCTGGAAAGTTGGAATATGCGGTCATTCTCATGTGTTTGTGTCACTGTCTGGGTTGTTGCTCTGGTGGTGAATTTAAAACCCGGGTTTCAGTGATGTTTCTGTTACCCATTTGGGAAAATTTGACATTTAGATTTTAATTCCCAAAATTATATCATCTGGAAAAGTCTGTGGTAAGTTCAACAGCATTCCAGACTTTTATCTAATAACCATTTTCTAGCAATAGGTATTTTAAAAATTATTTTATTATTATTTTTTTACTTAGAATTGGTAAAGCCTATTTCAAGCTACATGTGCAAAAGGGGCATATTATTCAAACTCCCCTTTACTGTCTGATGTGAGCTGGTCTTCACGTTAATAAGTGAATTAGTTGGCATTCACTTTTAACTTCTATTATGACAGGACAGAATGGTATGGCATGATATTGGCAAGCTTTCATGTTCCAGTTACTTGGCTGGTTTTGCACAGGCTCAGGCATTCCTAAATTATTGACATCCATTTCACTGTTCTGGTTGTTAAAAAGAATGTAAGTTTATTGTCAGAGAGACTTCATTTGGTCTTCCTCTTGCTTTGAATAATTACTGGGCCTTTTAGAACTGGTTGAGGGGCAGGGAGGAGGTGTTGTAACATTTGCTCAATGCCCTGTGCAGAAATAATTAGAAATGAAACCAAGCCTAAAGCAGTGCTTTCCTCCTTGTCTCACATCTTGGGTATACCTAGAACATGACCATGTTTGTTCAGCACCCTGCGATTCACAGATGAAGTTGCTCTAAGCTGAAAGCAGCAGGCCTGGGGGCTCCCACTGTCCCAAGCCCTGCTCCTCAGCCCTTATGAACTACAGGAACTGATATCTTGGCACAACTGAAGCTTATTGCTTTGCTATACCACTTGAGAATGACATGTAAACCAGGTTTATATTGAAGACCTAGGTTTATTTTTTTGTTATCTTTGAGGAAGTATACACACGCCGGCATCAAATAACAGGATAAGGGAATTTTTGCCAAAGCATCAGAGACACCACACCACTTGGCCAGTAGGTATTGCATAGTCTTAACTGTAGTTTTCCTGTCTTATGATTTAGAGTAAGTTGAATGACCGTTTGAGATTCTTTCAGGCCTAATATTTCCTATCTGATCAAACAGGCATTTAATTTTCAGTTCTAACTCTATGATACCCTGGGGTTCCCCGGAATGTGGTTTAGAAAATCATTGCCTTGATGATACACTGTGGAGATGTCTGCATTGTGCCCCTTTTCAGTCGAGTGTGATTTCTCATAACAGAAGAAATAATTGTGATTTGTCACAAAAAGTAAACCATGTATATATGCACTGATTAGTTATAGTATGTGTACCATATGATTGGCTTTTCTTCATTTAAAAACCCCTAAGCGGGACATTTGTTGTAGATGCTTCTCTAGTCAGTATCATGGATTTGTTCACTTGGTGGCTGGCGAGTGAAGCTGAGTTGCTAGATGCCAGGATAGGCTGGTTGGCTGTGTTCTATCCTTTCCCCCAGCAGCCAACTCCTAAATTACATACTGTGGCCCCTGAAGGGAGGTAGAGGAGAAAAGGCAGATGAATCGATCTGAATTCCTTTTGAGGTCTGGGAAGAGCTACTCAGAGCACGGTCTTGCAATGTCATCATTTTTGTTTTTGAAAAACGCCACATTTTGAGGGGAGTGGGGCAGTGCAGTGAAGAAGACGCATTCCGCCAGGTCTGCCTGGGGTTGCAGCATAGACTAGATTGAAGGGAAGGGGTGTAGGAGGAGCAGACCAATTGCAGAACTGATGGTATGAACACTTAGGTTTTACTTATTTTATTGAAGTTATTATGTATTTCTCCCTTTTAAGTATGGTTTAAAATAGTATACCGTAATTTCTCCAACCATGTTCTTTGTTTCACCGCTCATGTTTTCTTGTCTAGGTGATAAAATGTCTTTTCTTTTCATTTTACCCTATATAGTCAGTATTCACTAGAATGGCAGTTATGAAAGCTTTGAATAAGATAAAAGAAGAGGATTTCCGCAAGTAAGTAGAAGTATAGCAACAAGGAAGCATCGTGGAATTTTAGAATAAAGGGAATGTCAGTGATAGTTTGAGTTATCTAAGACAAGACTGGATGTGTTTCAGGGACCAGGATTGTGCCTTAGTTATCATTATTCCTCAACTCCTGGCTCAGTATCTGGCATGCAGTGGTATTCAATAAATGTTTGTCAAATAAATTTGAATTTAGGAAACAAGTCCAACTTATTTATCTTTTAGAAGAGGATATGTGGTTCAAAGAGGGAGTTGACTTGCTTAAGATTTCAACTGGGTAACAGAGAGCATTGAATTTTGAGCCAGGTTTCCTGATTCTCCAGCCCAAACTCTGCATTTTGTAGTACTATCCATCACCAGGAGAGGGAGAGAAAGGCTCAGGAGTTTCACACTTGTTAAAATATGCTGAAATAGACTAAGTTTTATATTTTAATTCTCAGTGTGTTTTATTTAGTAAAAACATTATCATAGTTATTCTTCTAGAATATCCTTGAATAAATGTCAAGTGATGATGTTTATGAAGAAGGTTTTATATATTTTAGACTCAAAATGAGTCACAGAATGGAAATATTTTTATTAAATTTTAGAAAGTAAAGACACTTGTCTACAAGCAGTAGTTCCTGAGTTCCTAAGTGATTTATTTGTTGATATATCTTGGGAAACTGTGTGAAATTTTCAAGCCAAGCATTTTGCATTAAGTCCACATCTAGTCATTTACAGTCCTTGGCTTTGGAAGTTCCCAGAGGGTAGACAGAGAATAAAGCCATATATTGCTCTTCTCTGTCCTAAGATGAAGTTTCTTAGCTAAAAGGTCAGTGTGTGCCACATTTCACCTTTTCCTGCTGTTTGGTCTGATTCCCAAGGTCATAGTTGATAAGAGAAGAGAAAAAAAAGAGAGAAAAATGGTGGAGTACCCACCCCTCAGGTGGGACTAATGTGATCAATCTCACTGCACACCAGCTTTAACCAGATGATTGAGGAGTTTTGTAAGCAAGTGTTCATGGACAGCAAAATGGCTAAAGAACCTGGAGAGGCTTCTACTTCGTGTATATGGATTTTTCTCAGAAGTCTCAGGGTTATTGGAAATTATCATCTGGGAACGTGAGTCCTCCTAGGAATGAAAGGTAGTAGTAAATCAGAGCCCTGATTTACTTAGTGCCACACTCATGTATTAAAAGTGGTACTCTAGGGGCCTAAAAGACCCTTATGGTTGCTAAACTTAGGGAGAGGCTTAGTCCTTGAGAGACTCAGGCCCTGTGTCTGGGGCAATGATATTCATTGTAGTTATATGGTTCAATATCATGTCTGGAATATAGTAGCTGTAAAATTTATTTTGTTTTTGCAGGCAGTTTCCTTGTCCTCCAAACTCACCAAAGGCTGTATGCACTGTTCTTGAAATTGAATGTGCTCATGGTGCTGTTTTTGTGGCTGGTAAAATTTTTAGTCTAGAATATACTTATACTGTCAACTTACTCTCCTTTCTGAAAAACTTAACTGACTCCTCCTCTCTTTCCTTCTTATTGTTGTTATTAGGTTCTGGTTAGTCAACTCTTTGAGAGCTAGAACTGATAGCCAAGCTTCCTTCAGATCGTATAGGCATTCTGAAGGTCACTTGGGAGATCTGTTATTTAAAATGCCATGTCAAAGGGAAATGACACTTCCTAGGTTTTAATAGTTTCCATCAAAGGTGGCCAGTTGGAAATATGAGTAGATGTTAAGACTCAAAACTCATAAGGAGAAACAGCCTTGGAAAGGATTTTTTAAATATAATATGAAAGCAAACTTGAAAATATAATTTTATTATCTGCAAAATGACTAAACACTGGCTTCTGCCTGAAAAACAAAAATTGTTGTATTGGCTTTCCCAAGGGGTTATCTAGCAGACAGTTTTGTTTTGAAAGCTACAGCTGTTGTATAGTAATAGCTGAAATGAAATTTATCTTTAGTATTGAATGAAATAGGGTAATGAAAGCTAACTGCCTCAGGGTGGCTTTGTTCATAAAGCAATTAGTCATATTCTGTTAGCGTGGGTTTTTTTTTTAATTACAAAAACTTCAAAATTTCCTGTATTTGAATTCTTTGGAATGCATTATCACCAATGACTATTACAGTGAAAGTATTATAATCATGTGTAAAAGAAGTAGTTGCTCTTTTTTAAAAAATATTATCCTTGGTGTGTACTGTAGTATTATAACTTGTTCAGTCAGACTCTGAGATTAATAAATATAGTGAGGATTCCTTTAGAACTCATTTAATGATTCATATCATGGCTTTAGTCATATCTTCTATTGGTTCCTTAAATATTATCACATAACTATGTATATGGATATGTGTTGGCTCCCCAGATTAGATCATAAGTTAGTTGAAGACTAAGACTTGTTTAATATCATAGGATATTGGCACTCAGTAAATAGCTGTTGCTTTTCTTTTTATCCCATTGTGTGACTCACCTCATTTCATCTAGCCTACCGTGTATTTCTCTGGCAGGGAGATACAATAAATACTCCAGGAACCTACCACAAACTCCTTGGATAATTGATGGAGAAAGGAAGCTGGAATCTTCAGTGGAAGAATTAATTTCAGATCATCTTTTGACAGTATTCAAAGCAGAGAGTAAGTGTTAAATTATTCATGTTTTAAATACATTGTCATTGATGGATAGATTTGTTGGGGGTGGCAGGGAAGACTTCTGTGTTTTGTAAATCACTACCAAGTCTGGGCCCCTTGCCTGGCAGTTTCCTATAAAAAGGGACTGCTGTGTCTTGAGCTTTTCCAACTGCGGCTGGATTTGAGCCAAGGTGCCCAAGGATTTCTTTTGTTTTTCAAAACGATTGCTCTTTCCTGGGAAAATTCAGGACAATCGAAACTACTTTAAAAGAATGCACTTAAGCTCCGACCTCAGGGCACCTCTGCCTTGACCTCTGTTGGGGAATATGAGGAAATTAAAGTACAGCTTACACATTCAGTGCTTGGCAAATGCCTGGCTTCCATCACAGCCATTAAAATGTCCTGGGATGAAATTTGAAGCCCAGAGAAAAGAAACCAACAGCTACCATTTTACAAAGACTTAATGGGAGTTGTGTTGTAGTTTAATTTCATAGGTATTCATGAGCCCAGGTTTGTGGGATGAATCAGATCCTGTCAGGTTTATGCTTCTTTTGTCTCAATAGGCCTATTAGGTCAAAGGCAGCATAAAGCCTCATGATTTCACCTAGGATTAGACTAGAGGAAAGGGGCTAGTATTTCAACCACAGGAAATCATGTTGTATGTCAGGAAAAACTGTAGGCAGTGAAGAAATAAATCACTCTTGAAATAGGTTTCCTAAAATAATCAGAACACCTTTTTTGAGGGATCAACTAGACATCCTTCCTTCTCTGAAAAACCTTAAGACAAGCTTGCTTTAGGAATGGCAGGCAGGTGACTGAGGTGAGGTGTGGCTGCCCCTTGGCCCCCCCTTTTTTTTTTAATAAAATTTATTTTTAGAGAGAGGAGAAGGGAGGGAGAAAGAGAGGGAGAGAACCATTAGATCAGGTGCCTCTTGCGCGGGCCTCAGCCAGGAACTGGGCCACACCCAGGCATGTGGCCTGACTGTGGCAGGTGACCTTTTGCTTTGTGGGATGATGCTCAACCAACTGAGCCATGAAGGTCAGGGCAGCCCTCTTTTTAAGGGTCTTTAGAAATTGTTTACTGAATGAAGAAGAAAGTAACCTAGCAACCTAGTATTTTCCAACACCTCAGCAGTAAAGACTCTGGGCTATTGCCATGAGCTATTATCTGCTTAACCTCATTATCTTATAAGACTTATCCAAGTTATGAAGAAGTGAAAATAAAGCTTTGCCCAAAAAGTCTCTTTCAAATTCTCCTTGGGGCCACCTTACTCCCTGTAAGAAGATTCAGGAACCTTTGAGTTCTGATTATTTGGGTCCCAAGGAAGCCCTCATGATGAAGAGGGCTACTGAGGGGCTCTGAAACAGCTGTGTGTTTCACCCTTGCTATCTTTCAGGAAGGTGGTTCGTTATCATTTTCCATCTGAGGGGGAAAAATTGTCCCCAGACTGAAAATAAGTAAAACTGTGTTAGCATATGCTGAGGAAATTTATTGAGAGCCACTTCAGAAAAAGGAGAGCCCTGGCAGGTATGGCTCAGTGGACTGAGAGTCAGCCTGTGAACCAAAAGGTCACCAGCAGGGGCGTGCAAGAGGCAACATGCAACTTACTGATGTTTCTCTCCCTCTCTTTCTCCCTCCCTTCCCCACTCTCTAAAAATAAATAAAATCTTTTTTTTTTTTTTAAAGAATGCACTAAGGTATTTTTTAAAAAAGAAAGGGGAAAGCAGAGACCTCTGGGCCTCTGTGTTCGTTGGCTTCTTCTTGGGATAAAACCTTGTTGTTTGAAATGCCTGATAAATAGCATCAATTTGCTAAACTGGTGCTTCTCAGATAGATTACTTGTTATTTCTGTGGTTCCCATCTGACAGCCCAGGGAAGATGGTTCTGACTGTTGTACCTCTAAGTCTTACAGCTCTATGACAATAAATAAGCATTGCATGAAGCAGCCTGGCTACTTACAGAAAGGTTCCTTCCCCTAAATGAGAGATACCAACTTGTTTTTCAGACACTTCATACCGGCACGTCACTTTATGTACTTGCTAATTCCATGGTTAATGAGTAATAAACTTTGACACATTGTCAAAATCAATGAGTCTAAGAAATTTTCCCCTAATACACTTATTACATCACTCATTGAATAAATATTTGTCATGTCAAGTCCCTGCTGAAAACTGGCCAATGACTAGCTACAGGATAAAGTCCAAACCACTTAACATGACGTTCTAAGGACTTCATCATCTGGCCTCTGCCGATCTTTCAGTCCCATTGTCTGCCCATGGCTGTGAGGCCCCTGCAGACTAGCTGAACCACCTATATGGTTCTGGATCATTCTTACCCTTGGTTCTGTATTTGTTTCGAATCATCCGTTTCTTTGGGCAGAAGGCTCAAAGAACGCACAGGATCTAGAAAACTCAACCAAATTTTAAACTGAACTAAGTTAAGCTTGTGTTTCCTAAATGGCAGTGGCTCCTTTTCCCTTTTTTTGTCTGCTGTTATTCATACTTGCATACAAATAAAATTTTGAAGTTTGCCTCAAAAATATTTCTCAGTGTAGGGTCCAAATGTGAAACATTTTTCTAAAAGATATACTCTTTCTTCCTTTGTCTATTGACTCTAGTGTTTCTCTGGACTTCTCAAGAGCCTGGCTTTCTGTTCCTCATTCTTATTGATGGGCTGGAAATTGTGGGAAGTTTTATAGGCTGATTTATGAGTTTGAGATTTAGCAATCACTGCTCGACCCATCTCTGTGTCCCGTTCATTCCCTCCGCTCCCACCTGTTGCAGGTTACGGTCAGGTCACTGTGGATTCCCTGGTTCCCTGAAGTTATGGCTCGTTTGGAGATGGAGGTGAACAGGTAGAAGACAAATCATAGCCCCAGGGAGTCAGTATTTTTCAGCTTCCCAGATGCCACTTTGAACTTCCCGTTTAGCTCTCCATCTCTAGTTAGTGCTACTCTTGAGTGTGTTGACTCTGGCTGAAAGGACTGATATTGTGGGTTTATTAACAGCTTGACAGTGGAACGTAAATGTGGGTTGGAGGGTTCTTTGGGACTTCTTGGGCCATAGAATCCTACTCCCTGCCTAGATTCTTCATCTGGAGAAGAGCCTGACCTTGTGCCCCACATGGCTGCCCACTTGGCCAGTCCTCAGGAATAATTCAGCATTGCTTACCCAGACTTAAGAGCTTAACTAGCAGCTTTAATTCTAGACCAACCTTGGATATCTATTGTTTAACCAGTCCTGGGTTGCTTCTCTCTGCGAGACCCACAGTTTTGGGCCCTGTGGGACCCACAGAAAGGAGCCCACCTTACCGTGGCAGTGTGTGACACACTACAGTTCGGAGCCTATGTTTCCTACAAAGGAGGGCTAGTCTTGACTATAGTTGTCATAGTACTTTTAAAGCCTTTTAGCCTTCCTTTTTCTAAAATATACATGGGACTCTTTCCTGGGAGAAAAATGGCCATCAAAATGGTATTCACCTTCCTTCTGCCTTTCCCATCTGTTCTTCCCAGAAGTCTTGTTCTTCCTTATCGTGTGCTTTCTGAAATGGCTGGACTATTGAGGAAATAAATACAAACCTCATAGCTTATATTGCAGTTGTGCTCTAAGTGCAGGAATGTTCCTGTACTTTTCCTGCCCTAGTCCTCCCCACCCACTATGTCATAGTCCATATCCCTATAGAAATAGAAGCTCTGTGAGGATAGGAACTATGTACTTCTTGTTTGCCTTTGTCTTCCCATCATCAGTACAGTGTCTTGCACACACATCCTGTAGATTGCTCCTGACTGAAAAGAATCAGGGTCTGAGCCTGAGTTCTAGCCTTCAAGCTCTGTGTTCAGAGACCTTAAACTCTACCACTGCAATGACTGACCAGGCTTCCCCAGATCCAAATCCTTGGTCCAAGAAGGTTGGTCTTACTTTCCACATGGGCATGACTCTGAGCATTTTTGGTTCCTTTGTGGTGATGCATTTTGGATGGTGGTTAAGAAACTCTGAGGGGACTTCTGGTCAAGATGGCGGCATAGGCAGACATGGCTCACCTCTTTGTACAGCCACATCAAAAATTACAACTAAAGTGTAGAACAGCCATCATTCAGAACTGTCAGAAATCAAGTTGAATGGAAGTGTGACAACTACACAATTAAAGAAACCACATCCATCCAGACTGGTAGGAGGGGAGTAGAAGGGGAATGGGCTGGTCCCTTACCTGTGTGTGGTGGATAAAGATTGGGGAGGGATACCTTCAGAGTGATGAGTCCCAGCCCCACACCAGGCCCCCCAACCGAGAGTTCCGGTGCAAGGAAGATAAGTCCCCACAACTTCTGGCTGCATAAACCAGCAGGGATTGAGTCAGTGGAAGAAACTGCTACAGCCCCAAGCAGTTCTTCTTAAACAGCCCACTCGTGGACTGATCTACTGAGAATCACTCTCTCTGAGCTTTAGCAGTGGGGTAGCAGCTTGAAAGGTACCAGTGACATACTGGGAGAAACTGAAGTATCTAGCATCAAGGCAAGAAAAGGCCATTGTCCCTTTTCTAAACCCTTCCTCCACAGAGCTGGCAAACTGGTGCCATATCTGAGACTCCATCAACGTGCCTAACACTGTTTACCCCTCCTTGGAGATCCCCAGAAACTCCTTCCCCCCAACTTACAGGCCTACCCAAGCCACTTTTCCAAATGAATGGCTGATTTTGGTTCATGTTTCATAACTTTCAGATCTTTTCAAACAAGCAACAGCTGGCTTCAGTGAGCCCCAGGCTCTGGCACTAGCAGCAGCCAGCCTAGATTCACAGCTTGGCTTCACCTGGGAATCTCCAAGGCCAGCACAAGTAGCAACCCTCTTACATTCCTTTATAGCTTAGGCAGGGTGGCCCTGGACAAAACAGAGGTAGGGGCTGACCTTGGCCTGCACCACCCAGGAAACCCCAGGGCCAGCGCACCCGGTGGACAGCTACAGACCATGTTGGAGCACCACCACCCTGCCCCTGCACAGCTGATCCTCCATGGATAGCAAAGGTCATAGCCAGTCCTTGAAGCCAACAGGCCTAGGGAAATCCCTCCCATTGATCTGCCAACAGCAACCAAGGCTCAACTACAAGAGGAGGGTGTACTCAGCCCACAAGAAGGGCTCACCTCGAGTACCCAGCTTCGGTGAAAGGGAGGGCTGTGCCACTGGACCATACAGTACTCGCGATACATTAGGCCACACTACCAAGACACTGAGTAAAAGCAGCTCTACCTAATACATAGAAACAAACACAGAGTGGTTGCCAAAACAAGAAGCAAAAGAAACATGGCCCAAATGAAAGAACAGATCAAAACTCCAGAAAAAGAGCTAAACGAAATGGAGATAAGCAATCTATAAGATGCAGAGTTTAAAATACTGATTTTAAGGATCCTCAAGGGACTTCGTGAGGACCTCAACAGCGTAAAAAAGATCCAGTCAGAAACAAAGGATATACTAATTGAAATAAAGAACAATTTACAGGGAAACAACAGTGGAGTGAATGAAGCCAAGAATCAAATCAATGATTTAGAACATAAGGAAGCAAAAAGCAACCAATCAGAACAAGAATAAAAGAGAATCCAAAAAAAATGAGGATAGTATAAGCAGCCTCTGGGACAACTTAAAATATTCCAACATTTGCATCCTAGGGGGGCCAGAAGGAGAAGAGAAAGAGCAAAAATTGGAACTCTATTCGAAAAAATAATGAAAGAAAACTTTCCTAATTTGGTGAAGGAAATAGGCATGGAATCCAGGAAGCACAGAGTCCCAAATGAGATGGATGCCAACAGGCTCACTCCAGGACACATCATAATTAACATGCCAAAGATTAAAGATAAACAGAATCTTAAAAGCAGCAAGAGAAAAGAAGTTACTTACCTACAGGGGCATTCCCATAAGACTGTCAGCTGATTTCTCAAAAGAAACTTTGCAGCCTAGAAGGGATTGGCAATAAATATTCAAAGTCATGAAAAGCAGGGACCTACAGCTAAGATTGTTCTACCCAGCAAAGCTATCATTTAGAATCAGAAAGCAGATAAAGAGCTTCCCAGACAAGAAAACACTAAAGGAGTTCATTGTCACCAAATCATCATTATATGAAATGTTAAAGGGACTTACTTAAGAAAAAGAAGATCAAAACTATGAACAACAAAATGGCAAAAAAATACAAATCTATCAACAATTGAATCTAAAAAACCAACTAAGTGAAGAAGAACAGAGATAGAATCATGGATATGGAGAGCATTTTGATGGTTTCCAGATGAGAGGGGGATGTAGGGGAATGGGTAAAGAGGTGAGGGGATTAAAAAGTATAAATAAATAGTTACGGAATAGTCATGGGGATGTGAAGTACCGTGTAGGAAATGGAGTAGCCAAAGAACTTATACGCATGACCCCTGGGCATGAACAATGGTAGGGGGATTGCCTGAGGGAGGGAGTAGGGGGTGCTACGTGGACAGGGGACAAAGGAGAAAAAATAAGGACAAGTATAAGAGCATAATTGATAAAATATAATTTAAAAAGAGGAAAGAAATAAACTGGAACCAGACTGCCTGGTTCAAATCCTGACCTTACCACCTATCAGTGATATAATCTTAGATAAGTTACTTATCTTGTCTCTGTCTCACCTTATAAGTAAAATGGAGATAATTAATGAAGGTAGTTCCTATGTCAGAGTGTTAAGATGTATGAAGTATTTAGAATAATGCTTCTCATGATAATGTTGGCTATGGTGACGATGATGATGAAATCATCAGTTCTGTATCTAAGAAAGCTGTCATGTGACACTGCCCCCCTTTTTTTAAACCACTTCCTATTCCAATATTTGCTGCTTTTAGTCTATGATAACCCATCTGTCTGAGAATGGACACTAGCTTTGTCATGTTTCCAGCTTCAGTTTGCTTATATAGTGAATTTACTTTTAGAGTCATGCATTTCCCTCTTCCTTTTCCTTCATAGAGTTTAATTCTCAAATAAATATTTTTGTTTTGTTTTAAGGAAAAGAAGGAAGTAGATGATAGATTTTTCACCGTAAGCTTGTGGCCAGGGTGGTGTGGGGCCTTCCTCCAAACTGTGCTCAGCTTTTGGCTTTTCTGTGGGACGGTGGTGTGGGATGATAGTTAAGGTCTGGCCTTGACATTAGAAACACAGAGCTCTGCCATTTAATCTTGTCACCTTGAGAAAAGTACTTAACCTTTCAGAAGCTTTTTTTTTTTTTTTAATACCTATGTCACCAGATAAAAGTAAATGAAATAATGTATGAAAAATTTTTAGCTCAGTACCTGGCATAAATTAAATGTTCAATAAATGGTGTTTATTATTATTACTGCTGTTTTTAGGAGAGAGTGGAATTGGAGGTGGGATGATGACTATCCTTTGTGATTCTCCTATCAACTGTTCAAGACAAATTGGGTTTTTTGGGGAATGTTCCTCCAGGCCTAAGGGGGGGAATGAAAGTCTAAGAATTATTATTTCTCTGATTTTTTTTCTTTATTTGTTTTCCAAAGGTTTTAATTTTTCATCCTCTGGAAGAGAAGATGTTGATGTGAGAACATTAGGAAATGGTAAGATTGCAACAGCATCACTCTACTAGAACTAACTTTGAGATTATCATCCTTTCAGACGGTAGTCACGTTCTCAAAACCAAAGTGGGCAGAGCTCAGCGCTTCTCTCCAAGTGAGAAAGCTTTGTGTATTATGGTGCTACCTTTATAATTATGTGATTGTTATGTTTTATAGGAATCATTTCTTCAGAGGCCGTTTTTATTTCATGCCTGTAGGTTACAAGGGACTTATGTGCATTAACACGGAGGTGCCTGATTTTTTCCAAAAGTTTGATTATTAATTATTTCATTTAATACCATTTCAGCAGGATCAGTACCGTTTTTAAAATGCACTTCATTTAAAAAAGCGATTCTGCTCTTTTAGCCCTCATTTCTCTCATTTTACATTGTTGCATTACAAGAAAAGTGAGAGAGTTAATCTTGAGCAATTGAGATTTATAGTCCCTTCCTGTCATGGAATCACAGCTTTTCTGTTTCACTAGTGGATTAGGCTGGGAGGATGGATTTCAACTTGCTACACCTGGGCATCACTGCGTGTGACATTACACTAGAGTAACCAAGTCAATTAGCGGTTGTTTAGAGTTTATTTTGTAATTAACACAGGCTTGTTCATGGACGTTTGGGAAAGCAGCCACTTTCACATATTGCCTGTACTGAGGTTTAGCAGCCCCAAGAAAGTCCCTTGATTCTTTTCACACATCCTTCCCTCCCCCAGATGCAGCTAAACTTTCAGTCCTCTAGAGCTCAACTGGTTTTTTCACACCTCCTAACCCTCTTGCATTAGCCCGAATGTTAACTCCATCAACACGTTTCTGTTTCACGGCGGGGTGTGTGCTGCCAGGAAGGCCCTTTGCAATTGAGCTGGTGAATCCTCATAGAGTACATTTCACTTCACAAGAAATTAAGGAACTTCAGCAGGTAAACCACTTCATGACATGGCAATCGTCCTGTTTCTGCAGCTCTGTTACTGACTGAGAGTTGCTAATTGTTTTTCTTTTTCTGCTACTACAGAAAATTAATAACTCATCTAACAAAATCCAAGTCCGTGACTTGCAGCTTGTCACAAGGTAAGGGTAGGCTCGCTGGAGATAATTTCAAAAGGGAAGTTTCAGTTGTAGGTCATGTATCTGATAAGGGAATTATATTCAGGATATATAGAGAACTTTTACAACTCAATTATAAGAGAACAACCAATTCATAATAAAGAGATGGTTTAAGTGGACCTGCCTCCAAAGAAGATATATGAATAAACCAATGAATTCACTTAAAAATGCTTAATACCATTAATAATTAGGGAAATGCAAATGAAAACCAGAAGATCCAACTTCACACTCACTAGGATGGCTATAATCAAAAAGATGGAAAATAGCAAATGTTGGCAAGAATGTGGGGAAATTGGGACATTCCTACATTGCTATGGGACTGTAAGTGTGGCCAGTTTGGAAAACAGTTTGGCAGTGTCTCCAAAGGTTAACATATGACCCAGCAATTCTACTTCTAGATATATATCCAAGATGAATGAAAATGTACATCTACACAAAAAATCTACATGGAGGTTCATGGTAGTGTCATTCAAAATAGCAAAAAAAGTCCATGGATAAACAAAATGTGGTATATCCACAATACAATGGACTACTATTCAGTAATAAAAAGGAATTAAGAAAAAAAAGAAGGAATGAAATACTAATACATGCTTTAATATGATGAACCTTCAAAACATTACGAGGTGAAAGAAGCCCGACACCAAACACTACCTATTGTTCAGAGTAGGGAAACCTGCAGAGATAGAAAGTCAATCAATGGTTGCCAAGGGCTAGGGAAATGGAGGATGGAAAGTGACTATAAATAGATGTGGAGTTTCTTTTGGGGGTGATTAAAGTATTCTAAAATGAAACTGTGGTGATAGCTGCACAACTCTGTAAACTAAAAAAATCACTGAATTGTACAGTTAAAATAGGAGGGAAATTGTATGTGAACTGTATCTCAATAGAGCTATTTTTAAAGAAAGGGAAGTTTGGGGCAAGGCTTGTGTGTATTTTATATCTTCAGACAAACTTTGTTTTATTGTTTTTGTTTAGAGAAGCAATAGGACACATGAAAGAAGGTGAAGAAGAAAAGACCAAGACCTATAGTGCCTTAATATGGACAAATAAAGCAATGCAGAAGGAAGACATTGAATTCCTAAATGACATAAAGGTAGTGAAGTGCCCTAATTCTTTTTATTTTATTTTTCTACTGCCTATGAAAGAATCTTTTGTCACCTAGTTTATTGCCAGCAAGTCATAGGGCATGGGTATTGGGAACCATGAAAACTGTTTTTAAGTCCTGGCTCTGCCATTTACTAGTTGAATGAGTGGGCAATTCATCTAACCCGCCTGAGAGGTAGTCTTTATTTTTCTTAAGATTTTATTTATTTATTTTTAGAGAGAGAGGAAAGGCAGGAGGAAGAGAGGGAGAGAATGATCAGTCAGTTGTCTCTCCTACATGCCCCAACCGGGCCCCAGCCGGACTGAACCTGCAACCCTGGCGTGTGCCCTGACCAGAAATAGAACTGGCCACCTTTCACTTTGTGGGAAGATGCCCAGGCAACTGAGCCACTCTGGTCAGGGCCATCTGAGAGGCAGTCTTGCTAGTGATTAAGAGCCTGCGTCTGAGGACAAATTGCTAGGGTATGAATCCTAGATCTGTATTTCTTAATTGTGTGACTTTGGACAAGTTACTTAGCCTCTTCAATTTCTCCATCTATAAAATTAGAAGAATTAAATGAGTTTAGTCACATAAATCTCTTAGAACAATACCTGATACATAAAAAACACTTGGTTGTACTACTGTTGTATTTGGCCGTTTGCGCAAAAGAAATATAAAACAGGACTTATCTGACAGAATTGATGCTAAGATTAAGTCCGTACATAAAACATGTTATAAATATATAAAACAGGATAATGTATAGAACATACATTTTTTTGGCACATGCTAGGTTTTCCTTCACATGAGCATGTCATTATACAGGGTCTGCCTGATTGTTTGAATATTTCTTCCCATCTGCCCCCACCTTTTCCTATAAATATAATCTATTTTCAAATGCAAGGAATGGGCATAAATGCGCACAAAAATGTTCATATATAGTTGTCAGAACATTGTTTAAATGGAGAGTATTTTGTAATAATCTAGGTGACCTACTAGAGGGGATTGGTTCAACCTTACAACTCACCTGTATTATGGACTACTATTACTAGCCAGTTGCTAGAAACTACATGGTAGATGAATATTTATTGACAAAGTTGAAAATGTTCCTGACAAATGGTGACAAAAAAAGAACAAGCTATAAGTGTAGAGGATGATACATTGTGACTTAAACACATACACACAGGCGTGTGTGCATACACATATGTATGTCTATGTAGAAAACAAGTTGGCAAAAGATACACCACAAATAGGATTTATACTTATGAAAAGTACAACACCCAATAGAGAAAAATAGACAAAAGATATGAACAAGCAGCTGAAAAAAGAGCAACTTCAGATGGCCACGAATCATTTGAAAAGATGTTCCACCTCCAGTTTGAAGTAGCAATCAAGCCATCACTTTATTCCTCTGAGATCAATAACATCTATTGGTTGGAGCAGAGGAGAAGGTTGCATACATTCAATAGAAATGTAAGGTGTTTCAGCCTTTTAGGAAAACAATGTGTCTATGACGATTAAAAATTATAAATACACTGGTCTTCTACCCATCACTTACACTACCTGCAGTCTGTCCTGAAGAAATAAAACCCCAGCGCATAAAGATATATGTGCAAGAATGTTTATTGGCTTTGCTCAAAGTAGCAAAATCAACAATAACAAACTGGAAACAAAATGGATTTCCTTTAATAAAGAAATGGTAGAACAAGTTGTAGTATGATACAACTGTTCAAAAAACCTAAAATAAGGAGATAAAGGTAGGTCTACATGACTTGCAGGAGCACCCATGACATTTATGAGAAAAAAAGTGAAGTGCAGAATAATGTTTAGAGTGAGTGTTTTGGTGCAAACATACACCTGCTTTTAGAAGTTCATCCATAAAACGAGGGATGGACTAGCAGGGGTGTCCAACCTTTCGGCCTCTCTGGGCCACACTGGTAGAAGAAGAGTTGTCTTGGGCCACACGTTAAATACACAAATACTAATGAAAACTGATGAGCAAAAAAAAGGTTCTAAGTAAATTTGGGATCTTGTTTTGGGCTGCATTCCTAGCCTCCTGGGCCGCCTGTGGCCTGCACGCCGCAGGTTGGACACCCCTGGTAGATTATTCCCAGTGACCCTTCAGTTCTTAGGTTCTGTGATTCTGTATCTAATGCCTTTTGGCCCTATTATCTAGGGACCTTAGAATGACAGCTATACTATAGATAGATATTTTTAAAATTGCAAACCAATTTTTAAACCTCTATTTTATTGCATATGTACAAGTCATTCAGAAAGCTTTGGGGAAAATAAACTTATTTTAAAAATAGGTTCAGAGTTTGGGGGTAGCTGTAGAGGTAATTCAGAAATAGTGCTGAAAGATGGGTTTTATAGGTACAGCCTAAGTAGCAAAAGGGTCTATTTTAATGGTCTACAACCCAAGTGGACTGTTGAGACCAGACTCTACTTGCCTTCTGGTAATTTTTTAAGTGTTAGAGTTAAAACACTTTTCCAATATTCCTAATGGTAAAATATATATACATCTGAAACATGCCCCATTCTGAGAAAAAGTCACTTCAAATTTATTACTCTTCTCTTCTCTTTTAAGGGTAACCTATTTCCAAGGGGAAAACAATCATTTGTGTGTGTTTATATGTGTTTCTGAAAGTTCAGCAGTATGGGAACATCAGAGTGCAATGTTAGAGTGGATGAATTGGTTTCTTTTTGCCTGCTGAAGGCCATCAGACCATAAAAGACACCTGAGAGTATGCTGATCTGAGTGTTATTTTAGAAGCAGTGGTGGGTCTGCGAGCTCAGTTATTTCTTCTTTTGACTGGCTCATGGGTCAAAGTTCTGGGAGTGACTAGACATAAAGGAAACAGGAGATGAGTACTCCTTAGGTAGTCACCCATTTAAAGGCCAGCTGTTTCTGTGCTCTAAAGTAGAGGCAATATTTTTCCAGACTGCTTAAAAGTTCAGCCTTATCCTTCTTTTGCTCTTATTGGCCAGAGAAAACATTATGAAGAGAGCTTATCTCATCAGAACAAAGTGCTATTAAAGTTGAAGAATTATAGAATCATAAAACCCAGGAGTCAGTCACAGGGGTATGAACTACAGTGTAGGGGAATATAGTCAATAATGTTGTAATAACTATTTATGGTGCCAAGTGGGTAGTAGACTTATTCGGGGATCAATTCATAAGTTATATAAATGTCTAAACACTCTGCTCTACGCCTCACACCAACATAATATTCAATGTCAGCTTTAATTGAGAAAAAAATAAAAATTGCAAAAAACCCCTGTGAATTAGGAGCGGCCATTGACTCACTGCGCCGATAAAGAGCAGTCACGCCATTTCAAGTGCAGTTGTTGTCAGAACTTGTTCTCTATCTCTTGGTAGAGAACTTGATAGAGGGAGGGCCAGACAGAAATCTTTTTTATTACGGCTTCAGGCACTCATGACCATGTAAATTAGAAAGGATTTGTTCCAACAAGAATTGCAGAGGACTGAAAGTTCCTAGGAGCCTACATTTCTGCTTATACCTAATATCTATTTTTAAAACTTGGAACTGGTTTGCCTTTTACAACACTAACTTCTATTTCTTAATTTATATCTTGTGACATAAGAGGAAATCTCTGATTATGAGAAAAAAAGCCTGTTTCCCTAAAAAAATTCTGAATTGTAAAAAGATGTGCAGTATTAATATTCTTAAGTGACTTGAACTGGGCTAACAAATATCAAGAGGTCCTGGTTTATTGCACACACTTACTTGTAATCATCATATTGAAATACTACCCTAGAACCACGATGCAATTGCTAATTTTCCAGATATATCCTTTCATGTAACCAAAAAATAACCCTGTGAGCAGGCATATGGTTCTCTCTAAAACACGCACGCTGCCTATACACACAGGTGATGCTGATATCCCAACTGTCTAAAACCTATTTCTCACTGCAGCCTGAAATCCTTACTATTAGGTTATCTTGTTGGATTAGGAAAAACAGATTAGAACCTGTCTTTTGGAAGAGCTGTTAAAGCAAAGGGCAGGATAGAACTCCAGGGTCCTAATCAATTTGTTAAATACCAGAGCAAAAGAGACACTGGAGAACGTTTACCTCAAAGCCTTTTTTAATGGTGTACTGGTGCTCAGAAAATAAGTAATTATAGACTAGATTATGAGAAGCACCACAGAGTGTGAATCTTAGGGTATATAATTTATTATAGTATTAGCTTTCACCCTGAGAGCGATAGATGATGGGATTCTCTAAAGAAAACCTCTGTGGTGAGCCATGGATGACAAAGGAGGTGCCAAGACAAGCTTCACTGGGCAGCAAAGTTGACTCTGTACGTGTGTATTGTATCCTCCTCCAGGACTTAAAGATAGACCAGAAAACACCTCTCCGGGTCCTTCATCGGAGGCCCCTGGCTGTAAGAACTCGCATCATTCACTCCATGGAGACATGCTATGTGGATGAGCATCATTTCCGCCTCTACCTGAAGACGCAAGCTGGAACGTATCCTTTCAGCTTCCACGCAGCAGTATCTAACCAGAATCCTTTTGGAAGCGTTCATGCTTCCCTAAAAAATATGGGCTCAACTTGATCTAGGAGGGTAGTAGGGAAAGGATGAAGTTGGAGAATATTTTGGGGGGCGGTACGAGTGTTTTTTTCCCCATTAAATTTATATTTTTCAAAATGACATTTTAATCCATGAGGCAGCAGTCAGTTCAATGTGATCTTTAAAATATTTAGTGTCTCACACAATGCCGAACTCCATAGTAAGTACTCAGGAAACACTTTTACTTGATTCATTTGCTGTCTACACATTTTTAAAAAATCCTCACTTGAGGATATTTTGTTGTTGATTTTAGAGAGGAAGGGAGACAGAGAGAAACATCTATTTGTTGCTTCCTGTGTGCACCCTGACCAGGGATTGAACCCACAACCTCGGTATGTGACCTGACTGGGAATTGACCCTGCAACCTTTTGGGGCATGGGAAGATGCTCCAACCAACTGGGCCACCTGGCCAGGACTGTCTTTACGCATTTTACCAGGCACATATTCATGACCACATTTAGGTCCTTTCAGCTTTTCTGAGCATTTGTCCCAGATGATTAAACACTGATAGTAGATGGGAGTGGTCCTACTTTTACATAATGATTTTTATTTGGCCACTGGTCCCCAACAAGAAAATAGGCCAAGGCTGATCACTTCTTGATAACCTACCCTACCTTGCACAGTTTTGTATCAGGTCTGAGTTGCTGGTTAAGAAATATTAGAGAGCTGTCATAGTCTTAGATTTAGTTTGCTTTTCAAAGTTGCTCCTAGTTTTTACCTTTTTCTTGGTTTTATATTTTTTGTGAACCAATAGCACGAATTGACAAAATGCCTTCTAACTAGTATAAAACTAATGATATACTTATGTATATAAGGGGGAGAAATACCAAGTTTTAATCACCAAATAGCATTCGCATTATATATAATTAGCCTGTCTTTCCTTCTCCACCAACCTCCTCACCTCTCTGTCCCCCTGTCCCACCCCAGGAGTGACCAGGATTTCCCCCCTTGAAAACAGGTATAGGTAATTTCTAAAATCTAAATTTTTACCATTTGGAATAAGTGATGGTTTACTTAGACTCTAGTGGGCAGATCTTTGTATCTCTGTTGTTTGGAGCAATCTGCCTATTGTAGATGGAATGTGGATAGGATTTCAAAGAAATTACAGATTTTTCAAAAATTCTTTTTACCTTATCTCAGCTTTAGTTCTGGTATGCCAGGGAGAAATGCAATGTTATTTTAGAGAAGCTATTATCTTTTCAGTCTCACTATAATATTTATTTTTACAGCAAGCCATGTACACAGTACATGTAACCTAAGGCATTAGTCAAGAGAGACTGCTGGGTAAAGCTTTAGATACTATGTGGTTGTACATAGAAGTATGTGAATTTTTCACATATATTGCTCAGTACACTGAACTAGTTTATTTCACTTACACGTCATCCCTCTTGGTATGATTAAGAACCATTCTGGACCTTATAATTGGGTTTTAAGGGGCTTTTTGGTTATCTCCCCTCATCATTGTTACACAGAAGTAGCATAAAGAAAGTGAGAGAAAAAGAATGATAGTTGTTAAGTAATTATCAGTTTAGCAAAGAAGACAGTACTAGATAATTACATGTCTTACGTTTGAGTCAAAACATTTGGTGAAAGTAGAGTGAATAAACTTTCAGAAAGAAGGATGTATCAGCATATTATGGTGTTAATTTTTTTATTCATCATCTGAGGATATTTTTCCTATTCAAATTATATTAATTTTTAATAGATATTATTTATTTATTTTCAGAGAGAGGGCAAGGGAGGAAGAGAGGGAGAGAAACATTGATGTGTGAGAGAAACATCAGTTGGTTGCCTCCCTCACGCCCCTGATCCACAACCCAGCCATGTGCCCTGACTTGGGAATTGAACTGGCAGCCTTTCAGTTCATAGGCCAGTGCTCAGTCCACTGAGCCACACTAGCCAGGGCTATATTAAATTTTTATACTAGGTACTGGTTAATAGACCACAACATAATGGTAAATGAATTTTTACTGAATGCTGGCAAAAACATCTTTCAGATAAAGATTCTCAAGGCTGTAGTAGAGTCCTGTGTAAGGAATGTTTGTATAATCTTATTGATAACTAATTCCAGGATTAGTCATTGACTTCAAAATTTGAAGACCTGTCAGCGAAACATGAAGTTGCCCCTTAAGAAAGGAGAGAGAATTTACTTAATCCTCTTGCTAATGACATTTACTAAACAACTAGAACTTGGGTCCTCTGATAATCCTTCTGAACGGTATTCATCAGACAAAATTGTCTTATTGTCCCTCCCATCCTATGCCACTGTGCCACTGGGTCATGTTACAAGGAAAGCCGTCACTGAGGTCACTCAGTAGGACTGGAAACCTATCATCTGGCAGATACTGGCTGCTATTGCTGAAAAGTGGGACTAGAAAGATGTCAAAATGCAAGTTGTGGCAAAGAAAAAATAGCTGAGATTTAAAAAATGTATATATTTTATATATATTTATATATAAGTATATATAAATATACTTATATATGTATATAACACTTATATATAAATAATATATAAATTATATTATATATAAATATATTGTATTATAAATATAATGTATATTTTTGGCCAAATATAAATATATAAATATATTTGGCCAAAAAGTCCATTTAGTTTTTTCCATAAAGTAAAAGACACATTTTCCATTTTCACCAGTAACTTTATTGATTTGGATATTTTGTGTATGTCGGCCATCTCCTGGTGGTAGAGCATTGATTGTTCTCAGTTAATGTCTTGATTTGATTGCTATCAGCTTCAGCTGGCTTACCTCACTGTGGAAGCATCATCCAGAGAGAAATCACCAGCACAAAACCTCGCAAACCACTTTAGACACGCTCGCTCAGTCACAGCACCTTTTCCATACACTGCACAAATCCTTTTTTTGTGTTTTTCAGTTGTGTTTTTACCTTTCTTGAAATAAGAAAGCATAATATGCCAAAAATGTTGCGGATCTTCTTCCATCTTCAATATTAAAATGACTGCACAAATATTCACCAATTTTGATAAGTTTTTTTAAAAATGCACGCTATGACAGCTGTCAAAATTGAATAAAGTTAAAAACAACTAAGCACTACTAGAGCTATCTTACGGAAAAAAAAAAATGAACTTTTTGGTCAACCTAATATATATATATCATTTCTTTATAGTTTATTTTGAAAATCCATACCCAAACCTTGGCGTTTGGAGATGAGAGAAAAGGAAATGATGATTTTTGGTAAGTTTGATGTAAACACAAGTCCCAGGTCCTGACCTTGGCTGGCAGGCTGGTAAGAACCAGTTTGCTGTAGCCTATTTTCTAAAACACACGTCACAAGTCACAGATCAGAAATAACCTCTCTTTTGTAATATTTCTAATTTTGTTATTTCTCTTTCACGTATCAAATCTCACCAAACAATTAGTATTGCGTGGCTATGATATTTTTCCTTAAACAAACCCCAGCTACATTAAAGAGTTTGTACATGGAGACTTTGGGAGAACCAAGCCAAACATTGGCTCTCTGATGAATGTGACTGCAGACATTCTTGAGCTGGATGTTGAGGTAAACAATTTCATTGTGGAAATGCCCATTTGCACCTGGAATTCAAAGTTACGGTTTTTTGGCATTAAGCCAAATAGTACTACTCCCCTTAAGAGGTGTTTGAAAATTGTCAAAATCTTATAGTAGCATTATGTTGAAGGGAGGATCTATCTTGGAATTTTTATATCTTGGGAAAAAACAAGGTCTTATTTATGATCCTTGCAAATATATAGCTCATTTATAAATTGTTCTTCACATATGGCATGAGATCTAAACCCTTAAAGCAAGTAAGTGCCCTTTTTATGTCCTTTGGACTCTGTAGTTCATTCCCACACTGAATTTGCCATATAGGAAATTTAAAGCAGCCTACTCAGAAATGTATATTCAAGACAGGTAGAAAATGCAATGAGTCAATGGTTATTAATCAGAGCAGTTCTGTGGACCCCTAGCATGTGGTCTAAATTCTCCACTCTTATCATCTGAATTGGAGCAAGGTTAAATTCGAAAGTAATTAGAAGAATGGATGGAATGGATCTTTCAGCAAGTTCTCCATAAATATTTTTCTCATTTGAACATCAGTAGGTATTGAGTCACAAGATATGCTCCCATTAGGAATAGAGTCCCTCCTCACCCCCACCACAAAAATTTTAGGAGAGGCTGACATTTTGTACTTGGGAATTGCACCTGTTATAAAAAGAAGTGGCTATAGTTAGTGTAAAAGCAGCTGTGGTATTCCAGCGATCACTGGAACAGTATTACCTCACCAGCAGTTCTGCTGAGAGCTTTCAGATGAGATCTTACACAGCTCAGCCAGTGATAGCATCTTCAGGGTTGCAGGTGGCCTCCTCAGGGAGAGTATCATTTGGACGAAGACACCCTTCAGTTAAAGAAAACCTCAGTTGTGTTTGTCTTCTTTACCGTATTTCTTAATACAGTTTAGGAACGTCAGAGTCACAGGCCAGTGTTTCTCAGACCTGATTACCCATTAGAATCTCTTGTAGAGCTTTTTCAACAGTACAACATGCCTACCCTCCCCTGCCCCCAACCCATACTAAGGTTTAGTTTTCAGGCTTGAGAAACCACCCATTAACTTATATGTGGGTGTTAGGTACATGGCTATATTCTGAAACAGAACCAAAATATTTTCTTGGAATTTATAAAAGATACACACGTACATATGCAATAGTTACTTGGGCTTTTGTAATAAGATTTTTCTGAATCTGGTATGTGAGGTGACTCACTGATCAACTTAAAAATTCTAGTTTTAAACTTTACATCTCAAACAACATGGTACAGTGTATTTAAAAAAAAAACAACTTTCTCTTAAATTAAGCCTTCCAGGGTGGTTAAGATGAGGTGCAATTTCATACTTCTAAGCCCTGGCATGTGGCACAAAATAGTCTGGTACTGTAATTTCATTAGGTTTTGTTTTAGAAGAACTACACCAGGGTGAGTAGAAATATGGGAAAATGAAAATGATCGGACGAATAGAAGTTGCTGAGATTTCAGAGGGAAAGTTGGTGTTGCCACCTGAATGTCTGCTACTTTAACCATAAAGAACATTAAAAGTTTTTACATGTACTCTAGTCTCTTATCAGTCGAAAGGCACAATTAATAACCAGCCGAGTAACCAAACACTCAATAAATTCAGCAACAGACTGCAGGCCCAAGAATCCCAAACTCCAGAATTGGATTTAGAATGTTAAATTGTATTCATTGCCTCTTTTCTTCAAATATGGTTTCTTCTGTGATGGTATATTGTAAGTATTAAATTTATACAGCATTATCAGCAAATGCTTCCTAGAACAGTACTATGTTTTAATGACTTGTTTTCTTTCTTCTAGTCTGTAGATGTAGACTGGCCCCCTGCTCTGGATGACTAGCTTTCAAATTTGGAAACAGTAGGGTTTTCGTGACACGATGTGGACGTCTGTTCAGCATACACTGTAAAATGGCTGTTTACTCACCATAGCGGTGTCTTGGAAACTGTTTGGATCATGTTGATCTATTTATTTTTAAACTTGTAACATCTCAGGATCCGCATACAGTATGTGTATATTGTGCTTTTCATTGTTCTAAGGATGTCTTATGATTTTTCTTGTTCCTTCTCCAAACCCCACGAGCCAAACTATGAATAATGAAACCATTTGCTATCTTAATTCTTTCATTTAGAGAGGTACACAAACAGGATACATTCTTGGATAATCTTAAGCTGTAATTTCTTCCGCAAAACTTCCCTTCACAAGAGAAGTACCACCTTTAAAATCATGTTCTAAATTTTTTTAATGATGTTAATAAGCTATACCTATATTTATGCAGCACAGTATCTTATAATAAGATATCAAATGCAAATCTGACACCATTAATGTTTTCCCCAGTAAGCTTCTAGCAAGCTATTACCAATAGAAGTACTTCTGGTATGATTTATCACAAATGCTGATGGCTTCAAGTTACTATTTTGACAATCTAAAATTGTCAATGCCTTTCCTGGGAGGGAAAGTAAAACCTTAGGAATCGAGGCATACCATGGTAAGAGACTTTAATAAATCTTTTAAATAAGTAGATACAAGTGCCTTCAATAACTTCAATGCCAGGGATAAGATTTTGAAAAATTGAGATTGCCAAACAAAGGCGAGCTGATACTATTCCGGAGTGCTTCAACGTATTATCTAACCTCAAACATCCTCATCAGGTAGACAGGATACCATCATCACCATTTTATAAATATGAAAACCAAAGAATAGAAGTTAAATGATTTAGCCAAAATTGTTAGTTACTTTCATATCTAAGACTAGAACTTAACTTTCCTGGTCTGTAGGTCCTTTCTGATAAACTTTATTATTTAGTACATACTGTATGAAGGCGGTAATTGAGGATGTCATTTACATGCACCTAACCATGAGAATTGACTTTTGGAATTTACATGCCAAATCAAGAAGCTTACCCAAAAATAGCCCAAGTATATTTCATATGATCTCACATGATTACCATTTGTTAGTAAGTTAATCATCAGTTGGCACTATGAAGAGGAAAAAGATTAAATTAGCAAAATCTGAAGAAAATGTCTGAGTCATTAAAATTTTCAGAAAGGAATCTCATTAAAATTTCACACTGATTCCTGTCACCCTGATCCAACTATCTGAGCTTATTTTAGAACATGTGTGACTTGGATAGTATTGGATCACTGTTTCCTTCTGTACATTAAACATAATTCATAAATACTACAATGTATTATTCACTACAGAAATCAGGAAAATGGTTTAATTGACATGAAATTCATTATGTGAATAATAGCAACAATTTTTTTCACTCTTTTCAATGCCAGAAAATGAAAAAAGATAATAAAAATTAACTTGTGATAAAAAGATAAGTACTTTTGTGTGAATGTTTCTTGGTTTCTGGGGAAATTTCGCTGCAAGAGATTTAAGAACCTCCTTAGCCAGCTTAAATGAGAAGACTTCTATTTCTTAAATTTCTTTCCCTGCGGTTATGCAAAATTTCAAGAAAAGAATAAACTTTAGTACTTATACCAAATGTTCATGGGATTATGAGTCACAAATTAATGCAGACCTTTGTTTATGCAGAACTCATAACATTAAGTAATTAAAGTATTATAGTTTCACTTTTGCCTATATAAAAACATTTAAAAATTAGTTTTGTGATCTCTTCCAGCTTTTTTAAAATTAAGTCTTTTAAATAACAAACACTTACAGAAAGGGTCATTTGTACTTCTTAACATCTCTGTCCCAGACATAGTCTGTGTTTTAGTTCAGGAAAAATACCAACTCTAAATACCTGGGAAAGTAAAAATAAATAAATAGAAGTTGGGAAAATGAAAAATTTCCTAAATAACTGGTTACATTTGCAAATTATGAAAAATAAAGTTAAAAGTTAAATCTCCATTTCCAAAGAGAAAAACATCTTACTTAGGTATGTATTTTCTTTTGGAGCTTTATTCTTTGATTTTTAAGTCCACATAAGAGAGTGAACTTTGATATGAGTTTTTCTGAGTTGATTTTTTTCAGGTGGTACCCTTTTTTATTATATTTATTTTTTTCATTTTGAAATAATTTCAAGTTTTGCAAGAAAAATGCAAAGAAACTTTTTTCCCCCTGAACCATTGAGCCAGCGATGGTCTATCACCCTGAATACAATTAGTGTGTAATTCCTACAAACATGGTCATTGTTCTACTTCATTCACCATAATGTAACTATCAAGATCAGAAATTAACCAGATATTACATAATCAAGGGATTACACTTTGCATTTAGTTGTCTCTTTAGTCTCCACCAATCTGAAACAGTTCGTTTTCCTCGACTTTCATTACTTTAACACTTTGATGATTTCAGTCTAGCTATTTTGTAGCTTGTTCCTCAATTAGTTTGCCTGGTATTTAATAGATTCAGGCTGTACCACTCTAGCAAGAATAACACAAAAGAGATGGTATCTTCTTATTACATCTGATTTACCAAGTGTCACGCAATTTTAATTTGTGCTTTTGCCAATGATTAGGCTTTCATCAGTTAATAAAGGTAATTATCTGCCAAGCCCTTCCACTCTTTTTTCCCTTTGATTAATAAATGTAGAGACCATCCAACTTTCACTTACTAGTATTAGCATTCATTGAAGATTTTCAACTGAATAATTAAACATACCTTAGAACTTTTAAAAATTGATTTTAACCACGACTGTCAAATTCCAAATGATTTTTCTAATTCTTTTAACATGTATTGGTTACCATTGCGTAGAATTAGGTTCTATATTAGGCAGAAATTTTCCTTTTTGTGGACTCATGGCTCCCTGTTTTATGTGATGGGTTGTAATTCGCTACTCATGTTTATTTTGATTTCTAAGTACTGATTTCGTTGCTTCATCAAACTGAGTCCTGTATTCTTTGACATGTCCCCATTATTCTTGGAGAAATGTTCTTAGTTGTTTCTAATTCAAAAAGACACTATAGGCTCATTCTGTGTTTCATCTACACCAGCCCTGGAGTGGGTTATTTCAATATGAGGAACTAGATCTTTTTAGTGGAAAATGATATTTAGATACCAAAGTCTGGGCACTTGGTATGCTCACTGCTATTGTGGCATTACTTCTCCCAAGCCCTCTCATGGCATGTGCACACACACACATGCTTACCTCTATGTATTCTTTTTTTCTTTTTTTTTGAAGATTGTATTTAGTTCTAGAGAGAGGGGAAGGGAGAAAGAAGGGGAGAGAAACACTGATGTGAGAGAAAAACATTGCTTGGTTGCCTCTTGTACACATCCTGAGCTGGGACCCAACCCACAATCCAAGCATGTGCCCTGACTAGGAATCAAACTGACGAACTTTTGCTTTGCAAGACGATGCCCATCCAACTGAACCATACCGATCAGGGCACCTCTATCGATTTCTTTACATATATTGAAAGTATGAGTTATACCATTACTTCCAATCCCAACCTTATTCTAGTTTTCTCTCCCTTTCCAGATTTGTCATTTCTTTTGCCAAGAGTGAGAAATCTGGCTCCCATTAGCTTTACTATATTAACTTAATAGGTCCGTCTCCCTCTTAAATAATTGATTGTTGCATCCTCATTTCAGATCACCAAGACCCCCCCCTTCCCTACTGCCCTCACATGTTCTCCTTCGGCTCCACACACTGTAATCCCACGGTGGGCCAGTACCTTCACCTATTGTGGTAATATCTACCTGTACTTTGCTCAGAATAAGTGAATGGCTTTTGTCCTCAGTTATTCACGAAGGAAGAGAAACAGGCAGGAAATAAGTCAGGAAGACAGTAAATAAAAATCTTTTAAAAAAGCATTTCAGTACTCTGTAAAATTATCTGTCATTTCAAAGGACAATTATATATGCAAGTATATTCAGCTATAGTGTTTCATGAAAATGCCTAGTGTTGCTAAGCAACCAAAACTAGCTTTTTCTGTGAGGAAGATGCTATAAATGCAAAGAAAATCTCTTTCATATTTTTAAAGTCAAATAGCAACAACATTTTAGTAAGAGTTTTAGAGTATTTCCATTTATTATATTACCAAGAAAAAAATCACTGTATACAAAGATATTACAGAGGCAATATTCTGTACAATAAAAGAGACTGACATTTTAAAAATAATTGCATCTTGATACAGCACTTAAATAATTAAACAGTACTTGAGAACTTTTAAAAATCTTTTCAGTGCATCCAAATTCATTAGTCACTAAAAAGCATATAAACATACTTAGAACAGTCCAAAAAATATAGTAATAGTGCCATTCCATGGGGATCTGAAGTCATCATAGTCAAAGTATTTTTAAGTACATTCTTTTAAAACAAATCATTTCTGAAGAGTTCATCTGGTCTGAACCGTGTATGTAAGAATGCCCATCACTCAAGGACTTGATTGTGCTTTCCTTGCCATTTCATCTTAAAGCTTCCCAAATTGTGTGACAGCGACCCACATTTTCAGCTAATGATCCAGTAAAATCAACTGTGTCATCAGTGAAGTCTCCTGAGATGAAATTCCACAAACAGATCGCAAAGACTCCAAACCCGATCTGATTCTTACTACATTTTATACAAAGCTATAATGGTTTGATAATAAAGTTCAAGAAGGAAAATAGGCAAGATGAATACTTGATACTTTTACCAATTTGTATTTTATTTACCTGCTGACATCCCTAAAAACCTGATTTATTGAAGCATTAACATTTTTTACTAATTATTGCATAACACTCTTCAGACAGAGGTGTTTAATGATTTTTTTGTAATTTCTGAAAGTCCAATAGTAAACAGAAGTTGTAGAAGCAGGTGATTAGAAATTCCACTCCTTTTAAATAGATTATTATTAGGAGGTGGAATTTTTTTCCTGATGCCATAGACATTTAGGATAAAAATAAATAATCATCTAAAAATTGTATCTTTTATTTATTAATGAGGGTAACAGAGACATGATGGAGTCTTTTGGAGGCGGGGTATAAGCTTTGGTTTGCATTAAAAAACGACATGACTACTTCAGAGATTCAACATAATCCACTGATGTTAAGTCTGAGCTTTAAATCCTGCTAAGTTAAAATATTAATTTGACTAAGTCTTAAAGGCATAAAACTGGATACAGACAACTCATACATTTATCGCTGATGAGCTACCCATTCCTGGGCTTACACATTTAATATTACATGTTACAAAAAAAAAAGTCCTAATTTTGCCCCTTTCATACCCAACTTCTGAAAACAAAACAGATTAGAAATCTTAGCGTGGCAACATCATTAGCTATGATGAGACTTTTTTAGGAAGACAGTCATATTACTCGATTCATAATCAACTTTGGCTAAGAAATTGAAAGCCACAGAATTTCAGAACCAGAAGTCATTAATTGACCTATCTTTGCTGTACAATTGGAAATGGCTCTGGAAAGAATAAGGCCCAACGATGGCCCTTCAGATCTGGGAAGGAGCTGGCCCCTCTAAAGAGAAACCCATTTCAGGGTTCCTACTGCGGAAGCCTAATTAATCCATGGTGATTTTTTTCTCTCTTCAACTGGAAGGAGTGTTTGGACTAGAGATTAGTAAAGGCCACAAGATATATACAGGTGGTTTATTAACAATATTTGATTAGCACTATACAATGTACAGTGTTTCTTATGCATTATTTTACTCAATACAACAAGCCTTGTGAGGTAGGGAGGATGGGTATCATTTGCAATTGTGTATCTGGAGAGAGAGGCCACAGAAGCTGTGATTTGTTAGATATCACACAACTTCTAAGTGGCAGAGCTGAAGATTAAAACTTGATGTCTGACTAAAAATCTTCCATCCTTTCCATTGCTCCATGCTATTGAAACATTCCATGGACATTTCTTTAATCCCTCAACAAATCAATTTATGATATTACAATTTATTTGGTGCTTCCAGGCAGCCTGGGCCACCAAGTCTTTCTTAACATGGACAGCATAGTTAGTTTTCTGAAGTATTAGGTTAGAAACTGACACTCCAGCTGTTTCTGTTTCTGTTCAGGTTTGAGTAGGGAAGCCCTGTTACCAATTAAAGGCTATTAAGATAGGGTACTGAAGATAAAAATCAGAATAGGGGTTTTGAGGTGTAGGTGGATTGGCAATGGGCATGAAGGAACCTTCTGGGGTGCTAGATATGATTATGTAAATATTCATCAATCTGTACACTTAAAATGAACCCACTTTATGCACTTTACTGTACATGTTATCCCTCAAAAGACTGATATCTTTGAGAAAAAGAGCTTTGTCTCTTTCATCTGTTTCACTTGCAGCAAGCACCAACCATGGTGCTTTGCACACTAGACTAAGAAATGTGACATGTGATTTGATTACGTGACTACTCCAGTGTCTGTACACGGGTAAGGTGCCAGGCAAACGCAAGGGGGGAGGACTGAGACTAAACCTGCCACATACAGTAGAGATGCAGCAAAATCAGATGTATGAAACAATCCCAGTAACTGTAAAATCCTATCTAACAGTTGACAATATGGAGGCAGAGGGTAAACTATTTCCTAAGTGCCGTAATCTTGGCATCACTGCTTTTCCTGTCAGGTTAAGTACCTTTCTCTTTAAGAACCACATCCTTGTCCACACTTTTATACTCACTCCTATTTCGGTTTCACCCTGGCCTCCCTAATAATAGTACCATTTATTCAGCACCAATTATGCCAGGGACTGTGCTAATACATGGAGTCCCAAAGATAAAAGAGACAAACTTAAATGGCTTTAATTCAGTGAAGAGCTCTGCAATAGGGACGTGTACAAAGCTGCACCTCTACAAGGGAGGCAGGACCAAGTTTCATGGAGGAGAAGCCCAGTCTTAGAGACAACGTGATATGGCGGTAGGAGAACACAGGATGAGTGGATAACATGTTTAAAGCATGGAGGCCAACCAGGCTAATAAAAGTTTTTTTGAGGAATGACAACTATGTAATAGGGGATAAGGAAGAACAGAGTGTTATTTTTAACTGGGGCATATGGAAGAGATTTTTGTTGGGGGAGAAGAGTGAAGACCTACAACGCTAAGAACTTGGCAGGAATGGAGGGACAAATGCAAGAGATTTTTTAAAGGCAGACTTAAAAGGACTTGATGACTAAGTATGAATGTGAGGTTTCTTTTAAACATCTTGGATGGCAGGGTAAATGGTAATGCCATTCATTAGTGAAAGAGTATGCAAACGGAGGGGCCAGTCATAAGGACATTCAGATAGCAAGGGAAAGCTGAAGCCGTGGGCACTGATAAGGTCACCCTGGGGGACAAAGTAGCACCAACTGGGGGCCAGCTGAGATTGGGGGTGGGGGTGGGAGGGAATCAGTCTCAGAGAAGAATCTTGTGTACCACAGGGACCGTGGGGGTGTGTCCAAGAAGGGAATGGTCAATGAAATCGAAGGTTACAGATGGCTCAAGCATAAAAAAATTTAACAAGGGAGGGTGTCACTGGTCACTTTCCCCAGAATACCATAAAATAGGGGGTAAAGAGAGAGATGGTAGGGTAAAACATGACTGGGAAGTGAATAAATGGAGACGGAAAGCACTTTAAAAGTCTGGATGGGAAGGAAAGCGTTATGAGGACCGCAGGAGAGGTTTTTTCCTTTAAGTTAGAAAAGACGTTTACCATGTTTATAAAAAAAAAAAAAAAAAAAAGCACGAAATGCTGATGTGAGGATAAGGGAACAGGAGGAGGAATGGGAAAAGGGTTGGGGGATCCAGTATATAAGTGGAGTTTAGAACGGCATAAGGTCACCTTTTCCTGGGAAACAGTGGAAATGCTACAAAAACAGGTGAAAGTGTAAACACATTAAGAGATAGAGAGGAAGCAGGTTGTCAAAATCTTTTTAAGTTATAAAATAAATTCTAGGAAAAACCCATTTCAACACAGATGTAGCAGCACCTTATCTTACACAGAAAAACTGCAAGGTAATTGCTCATCTAATTTTAAAAATCCACTTAGATTTTCTAACAGTGTTTAAGCTGATCGATGCTAAACTAATACAAAAATTACAGGATTCTGTATTTTTAAGAACGTGATCCATCTATCAACCACTACCTAAAAATATTGTGGGTTCATGTTTTGAACAGGTAGGAAATTATGTCTTCAGATTTTTCTTTCTCCTTGGCAAGTTCTACTGAAGTATGTTATGTGCTTACGATTTTTAAAATTATGTAACAGAGTGTTTCATTTTGAAATCATAATTTCTGAGAAACATTAACAGTACTTAGCTTTATTCTTTTTAATCTTTAATCTTTTTTCTTTTGCTCCATAAAATCTCAGAATTTTTATTTATATAACATTCACACACTCCCTATTTTGACCAAATTAACTAGTTTTAATTGTTCCAGTAAATTTGTGGTTTGACTGGATGCTATATAAGTGAAATGACACGTTTCTAGCTGAGAATATGGTTATATTTATGGTAGGCTCTACTTGTAAAATAAACGAGGTCTTTAATAAGTTACTTAGCATCATGACAATTTCATCACAATTAAGTTTTACCCAAATTCCACCATCATTTTTCCACTGGGATTACTCTGCCTTCCAACAATTTGGATTACCATTATTAGTCACTGTCTTGAAGCTGGTCTTCAAGTCATATACATTAGTGAGTGTATATGATTCTGACATAAAGCCAATGTCACATTAAACAGAACTATAAAAATCATGAACATCTAATAATTAAAACTAATCTTTATTTCAAAAACCAAAGTTGTATCAGTAGCCCTTTGAATGTTCAATATTTACTGAATGCTTAATATCAGGCAGACACTGTTCTACAAACTGCATTCTACAAAGCACAAATATTCCTGCCCTCACAAAGCTTATATTCCAGTATAAGAAAACAAACAGTAAACAAATGAATGTGTAGGTAAGTACTATGGAAAAATATAAAGAAGGGGAGACATGGAGTGTTGATACATATAGTGACAAGGAAGGCTTTGATCAGGCAACAGCTGAGTGAGACTGAAGGCTATGGGGAGTGACCTCTGCACATATCTGAGAGAAAACCATTCAGGCGGAGAGAACACCAAGTATGAAGGCTCTGAAGCAAGGGTGACATGGTGTTTTTGAAGAGGAGCATTAAGACAGAGTACCTGGAGCTGAATGAAGAGGGGAAAATGGTAGCAGATGAGACAGGACAGGGAGTGAGGGCCTGCTCATTTTAAGGACTTTGATCTTTACTCTGAGATGAGGAGCTACTGGATAGTTTTGACCAGTTGAATGAGAGGATTTGACTTGGCTTAAAAATGATCATTCTGGCTACTTTTGGGAGAATAGACTATAAGAGTACAAGGATATAAAAAGGGTTTTTGGAGGATATAGCGTCAATCCAGGCAAGAGATGGTGGTGGCTTGGAACAGGATGTTAATAGTAGAGGTCAATAGAGGTGGTCAGTTTTGAATATATTCTGAAGGTAGAACCTACCAGATTGAGACACAGGAGATAAAAGAAAAAAAGAATCAAGGATGACTCCATGGTTTTGGACCTGAGCAACCAGAAGCATGGCACTGCCATTTACTAAGTTGGAGAAAGACTGAAAAAGAAGCAAGGTTGGGAGGGAAGATCAAGGATATGTTGAATTTGAGCTTTAATTAGACTTCTATGTACAATGTTCAAATGAGCAGTTCCACACACATGGGTAACCTCCAAATCTGGAGTTCAGAGGACAGGTCTAAGCCAGAGCTAAAATTTCAGGGTCGACGGCATGAAACTGGATGAGATCACAGCGAGCAAGGACACACAAGAAAGGTAAGACGTCCAAGGAAATTTCTTCCCCTTAAAAATGTGGGTGGAAACCAATAATCATAAGCAATTTTAAAGGTACGGATTTAAATAGTCCAAAAAGTAGAGACCCTCCCATTCCCTGAAAGCGCCCTGAGGCAACTTAGCATTTAAAAAGAATTCTGATTTACATATAAATCTAAGAAACTCAAAAAACCCTCAGAAAAACCCCTTAGGGGTCACCTTGGCCCATGTACCTCAAAAATAATGAGTTTATTTTTCCAATGACATAGCCATTACAAGTTTTACATTAAATTTGCTTAAAAGCAAATATCAGTTAATTCATTTAGCTAAGAATACATTAATACATTACAAAAGAAATATAAAAAAGCCTATTGGAACATGTACTGGAGTTTTATCCTAATGTTCTCTTCATTTTGTTCTGGGGAAACATGGTGAAACTCTAAAGACAGAATTCCTATCACACACAGTGTCAGGTCACATGTTTCAAAAGAAGAAAACACTAAAGGCCTTTTAAATTTCTGTTTTGGAAAGTTCCTTTTCTGGCAGTTTCCAACTTTGTATTCTACATATGCAAAATTATTCGGGTTTTTTTTTTTTTAATTTGGAAAAACTGATTTCTTTCAATATTTAGCATGTCACAGATTCATTATACACTGCCAATGGTCAATAATGACTGTGTGTAGGCTGAAATATGTACTAATTTAAATAAACCTCCAGTGCACATAGGATTCCACACAGCATCATAGCCTAGAAGTTCAGTTTGTGTGGATTTATCTATTCTTGAAGCAAAAGTTGTCTGTAAATGTTCAACCTTTTCTAGCTTTTCTTGAAGTTGTAAAATGAATTCATCCCTCTTTCTCAGTGGCAGCTTCAGCACTGAACATTCATCTTTTATTTACATCCTTAAAAATTTTCTGAAGAACTCCAGAGCCAAGACTGATGACTGTCAAAGAAATCCCCTACACACCCAAAGTTTTATACTTCTCCGTAATCAAGAAATTTTTGCATTATCATTTGAAAAACCAAATCCTCAAAAACCTCCTACATTATAGTCTTGGTCAGAGAAATATGCATCTATACAGATAACATTAAAATGGATGCAAACATTCCAAAGGATTTAAATCTTGAATCATATTTAAATCTTACAAGTTAACTGGAAAAAAAGTCTAATTCAAATGAGTTGCTCAATTGCTCATTCTGCATAGAGCTAATACCTGAATACTGATTTTGAACAAAACCATGACTGTTTGGATTAGTAGCGTTTGAAGACCCTGACTCATTTATCATGCCGTTATTTGTACAATTGAAGTCAGATCCCTCAAATGCATCTGATTGTGAAACAAATGCAGTGGTACTGGAACTGGCGCCTGCTGACATGCTGGAAGAGGACATCTGATGGAGCTGTCTCAAGTCTCTTGCGTCTAAAATTGAGTTACGTGAGGAGCTTTCATTATTCATGCTCACAAGTCTTGGATTATCAGTTTCCCTCATGCTGTCATTACTGGTTGTGATCATATTCACATGGCAGTTAGGCAGCATGTTGGCATCAGAAATACCATATAAGTCAGCTGATGACAGAGATGATGCTTCCATTCTGCCTATGTCATTAGTACTGCTATAAAGGCAAGCGTTAGAAGCACTCATAAGAGGCATTTCTAGGAATGGTGGCATACCCTGTGAATTAGAGGGAAGTGTCCCTGTTGGAAAACTACTCAGTGGATTTGTATTGACCAAGCATGAGGTGGGGTGGGCCACTGAGGACCAGCTGGAAGACGGCTGAGGCACCATCGGGGGTATGGCTGATGCATGATGTGGCAACGCACTGGGGATGGTCACAGACGGGGAATAGTAGGGCTCTGCTTGACTTGAAACTCCTGAAGACCTAGGCATTTCTGCCAAAGCTGCACCGTGAGAAAACAAGTTGGCTTCTGTGGGGGAGGAGAAATATATTTTTACAAAACCAAAATGAACAAAATTAGAAAAAGTACTATTTCTAAAAATTGCACAAACACGTTAATAAAGAAAACTTTCAAGGACACTGAGAAGCATGCCACATGAAAATGTTAAATAGCACTAAAATTATTACACAAGCCCAAAGCTAAATTTTGTGACACTTACTGTTTTACAAATACCTATAAATAATTTTACTAAGTTATTTTGGCATAATTTCACTTCAGTTAAATCTGAAAATCTATCTTCTGAGGGCCTATAAAGGTATTTTTGAAAAATGAAAGATGAATATCAGCATTTCAGTTAATGGGACTCTATATAGACAAAAATCATTTAATTTCTCCAATTTTAAGAAAAAAGTGGAACAATGGAGGAACTTATTAGGGATAACTGAAATCTACCACCTAATTTTCTAAGCTATATTAAGACATAACACTAATGTACTACACATTCCCAGTCAGAAAAAAATTAAGGATTCTGTGTTTGTTTACACATTATTTATTTACACTGCTATACATACTAAAGCAGGAAAAAGCACTGATTTAAGAAGGTAATGGGAAAAAGACTTCTAAATAACTCTGGTTGAATGATCTAAACCAGAGGTTGGCAACTTTTTTTCTACAAATGGCCAGATATAAACATGTTAGGCTTTGCAGCCTCTGTTGGAACTGCTCAACTCTGCCTGCCACTGTGAGTGAAAAAAACAGCCACAGACAATATGTAACCAAATGAGCATGGCTATGTTCTAACAGAACTCCATTTATAGACAGACTACTGGCCAAATCTAAACCATTTCTTGCATGATATACTATAATTAGTAAAATATCACCATATGAATGAAATGTAATTTCTCAAACAATAACTCCCCAAAACCACAGTTTCCAGTAGGACCACTGGAAGCCAAGATCAATTTATTCAACATTCAAAGCACAAAAAAATATACAGGAGTAGAAAATATCAAAGAAGCAGTTTTATTCCTAAGCATGGAATTCCAATATATTCTGCAAAGCACTTGTTTTTCTGATCACAAGGAATGATCTATAGGGAATAAAATACCTTTTTTAATGAATCTTCCTTCACCAGTTGATCCCATGGAATCAGGTCTAGGTCTTTCAGGAAAATTAACTGCTGTGATAAAGGTTTTCCATTATTATTAAATGTCATTTAAAGAATAACATCAGCTAAAATTTGAAAAATTGAATAAAGCAAAAATATCCCACAAAATCTATTTAAATATGAATTAATCCAAAACATTCTTACCACAATCATGCCACAGTTTCTGGAAAAGTAGAGTTGTTTTTTGTTTCTTTGCTTTATTGCCGTAAGTATCTGGTTGGGGGGGAAAAAAACAACCCAGAAAAGCATGTGAATGAATCATCACACTTCTTTTCCTTTAATAAATAAAGTGTTTTATTCCTATATAGAAAATTCTTTAAATAAATGTACATAATATGGATTGAATAACTGTTGCAGAGTATCCTAAGCCAGTAGTAAAAGATATATTTCTCTTAGTAAAAAGTAGTTTGATATTCATCTTGTTTTCTTCAAACACCTATAAGTGAATAATGCCAACTCAGCAATAAGGGCAGAAAAGGAGCAAAATGGAGACCACTCTCTGATTGGTAAGATTGTTATCTATAAAAAGGACACAATAAAGACCAAAAGCCCCCCTCAAATATAAAACAAATTTTGATAAACTCTATAGATACTTTGAAATTATTCCAGATTCGTTTCCTAAGAAAGAGCTGCAAAGAGCATATAGATTAACGATGAAAAATCAGCTGAAAATTGTCAGGAAAAGAAATGTAACTTATGAAGAAAATATAACAATGTATCTTATGAAAATGTTGTTAGTGGGACTAATTTTAAGAAATTTATAAAACATTGCCACCAAGAAGCCACACCTTTTTCATCTGGCAGATATCTAAAATCCATAGATTCACTAACTTCCTGGTCAGAAGGTCTTCGCAACTGCATTTTTACTGTCACTGGTTCTGTTATAGCTTTGCAATATGGTGGAGTCTTGAAGACAATGGCTACTTGACGGTGCACATCAGCTTGTGAAAAGGTACCTTTTGCTTCCCAATCATTCAACACAAACCGAACTTCTATGTCATCTAGTGAATATGAAAGCAAAGAACTATCAATGAGAAAACAAAGTAAAATATATCTATTAATTTCCAGTATATTCTGAATTCAATGAGACAAACAAAAAAACACATAAATACCTTTCTGAACTTTATCACAGAGTAGAAATATTTCATCTCCTCCTCTGACACTTCCACAGTTCTTGTTTACACGACAAATCCTTAATTCTGCAGTATTAGGAGCACCTAAATATGAAGAGTGTTTTAAATGGGTTGCTCTCTTAATAATATATTTTATTCCTTTTTCAAGTAGAGAATTTTAGGAAACCAATTTATAGAACAGATAAAAAACTTTCATGTGTAAGTAAATTAAGAACACTAAATACATTAATCATCCACATCTGTTCTTTTCCTAACTGTGTTGTCTAACCTGGTTTAGAGTGACTTCATTTCTAGGCAATGACATGTCTTCTAATTAAATCTTGCTGCTTTTAAATTCTGATTCTTTCAATCCATCCTACACACTGTCACCAAATTAATCGTCTTAAATCATGACCATAACCCTAAGGCAATGCAATTTTCATGCTTCCTATTCTCTGGGTAATAATCCAGTAACTCTCCCTGGCATTCAAGGTTCTCCATGATAAGAACACTCTAATCTACCTTTATAACCCTTTGTTCTACTATCCTTCTGCAGACAAAACAGGCATAATCATATACCACTGGTCATCCTTTATAAGAGTACACACACACACACACACACACACACACACACACACAGTATGAGGGCAATTTCATAATCTTTAAAAATTATAAATATCTGTATCCTTTGATCTAGTATTTCTCAACATTCTACTTCTGCAAATTTATGACAGAGACCTATCTGCATGAGATATGCAAATGCAGGATATTTATTGCAGTAAAATGTGTTAGAGAGAAAAGAAAAAAAAACAAATGTCTTGTAATAGGGTAATGATTTAATAAAATCATGATACAGCAATAGAAGGCACTATGCATCTACTGAAAAGAATAAGGTGCCTGAAAGGGAAAGAGATTCAAGATGCATTGCTAAGGAGGGAAAAAAATTTAAAAAAAAAGATCACTGATAATTTTTTTACAGTTGCCAAAAATATATTGTGTGGGTGATGATGATGATGCATTTGTATATATATGAAGAAGAAACTGGTGAAGTATGTACCAGAGGACAGTGACTATCTTTGGAGAATGAAATGAGAAGAGATTTACTATAGGGGACAAACTCTTGTTATTTACTTTAGAAATGTTGGACTGTTTCCTATAATAAACACTGTTTTTCTAATTACCAAAATAATTTTTTAAAATTAAACTAAAAAAACAAGCTAAGGCTACAAACACAAGAATATAAGTACTTACGGTTGTCATAAATAGGGTTAGAGACAATAGGAGGTAGAGTGGTCGTCAAGTTACCATGTTCATCATAGAGGAAAACTTGAAAACATAATCTCACCACGTTGAGGTCGCAATCTTCAGTATCAAGCAGCTGTGGTTCAGGGACTAATTGATACATTTGAAAAAAAAAAAAGAATGTAGAATATTCACATAGAACTCAAATCCTGCTAAGTTCTCCTCCCTGCCTCATATGTCTAATAACCCTGAGTAGCATCCAAATCTGTACTAACAAAAGTAGAATGGTACACAATCTAAAGAATGCGTTTTATCATTAGTATATCACGTAGTCACTAGCAGTATTCATTAAATTATGACTATGGTTAGAGAGTTACTATCTCAGTCATCTGGAGTTTAGAGCAGAATAACAAGTTGACATTAATATCAAATTTTTACAAAGATGGTTGCCAATTATATACAAAAGAGAAGAGACATTCATTCATTCATTCAACAAGCATGTATTTAGTCCAGCCACTGTGTTAAGAACTCTGTGCTACTAAATTAGTAGATCTACTAAATGACCTACTAAATTTGTACAAGAGGAACTGATTTTAAGTTTGTCCCAAGTTTCACAGCTAAGAAGTGGCAGAACAGGAATTCAAACTCAAGTAATTGAACCCAGAGCCTAGATTCTTAAAAGGTGAACTCTATTAGAAAATTTAAAAGATTTGACTTATTTACTTTTAGAGACAGGGGAAGGGCGGGAAAAAGAGAAAGAAACATCAATGTGTGAAAGAAACATCGATCGGTTGCCTCTTGCACACCCTCAGTTGGGGACCTGGCCCGCAACCCAGGTATGTGTCCTGACTGGGAATTGAACTGGTGACTTTAGGTTTGCAGACCACTGCTCAATCCACTGAACCACACCAGCCAGGGCTAGAAGATTTGACATGTTTTGAATAAAATGACAAAAGGGATATCTACTGAAATTTAGATCAGTATTTTAGGAATTAAATAACAAGAAGATACCAGATGAGATAAGATAGCTTAGTTTTCATAAGAAATTTTATGTGCAAATCTGGTTTTGTTTTGCCGAAAAAGGCAAACAAACCCTGTAGCAGGGAAATTTTATAGTTCTAAAAAAATATGAAAACTCATTCTTTTTTTTAAGATTTAAAAAATTTATTTCTGGAGAGAGGGGAAGGGAGGGCGACTGAGAGGTAGAGAAACATCAATGCGTGGCTGCCTCTCATGCATCCCCTACTGGGGACCTGGTCTGCAACACAGGCATGTGCTCTGACTGGAAATCGAACTGGCCACCCTTTGGTTCGCAGTCCAGCACCCAATCCACTGAGCCACACCAGCCAGGGCTGAAAACCCATTCTTTATGAAAGAATATAATGAGTTTGTGAAATTGATATGGAAAAAGAAATCCAGTTCCAAAGGAAAATATTACTGCCTTTTCAAAGAATATCATAAACTGTAGCAATAAATCATAACAGTCATATTTTAAAAAGCATGAAATATACATATTCAATTTTATGAAAAATTTCACTTTTCTAAAAGTATTAAAATTGTAAATACCAAAGTTGAAAGTAGTTAAAACCCAAATTCTTTAAAGACAATAATAAAAACTACAATGTAATTTTGACTATTTATATTTAAACTACAATCATAGACACAGTAGCTATCACAAGATTTAAAATTATCCCATTAACAACATTCTTAAGCTTACCATTTGAAGGAGTCCACAGAACATATTTGTGCAACAAAAAGCTATTCATGATACAAATAACTGTATCACAGCAGCATATTCTACTGGCATAATTATGTAGGCAATGAAAGGTTTACCAATTCAAAATCTATTTTTATAGTCTTAAAAATTTATAATTGAAGACATTAATATTTCTCAATTGCAAAGATGCGTAATCAATACACACTAAATAATTTGCTATGTGCACCTGACAAGTTTAAAAACAAACCTATGCGAATGATACAAATTATTACAGTCATACATATAAAAAAGAACAAACTATGGATATATACACCAACATGAATGCATCTTAAAAACATTCTAGGCAAAAGGAGCCAGCTATAAAATATATATTATGCTTCCATTTATAAGAAGTTCTAGAAAAGATTAATCAATGGTGACAAAAAGCAAGTTAATAGTTGATTGGGACCAGAGGAGGGAGAGAAAATTGACTGGGAAGGGGACCAAGAAAATTCTAGGGCGGTGGTAGTGGAAATAGATGTCCCTTATCTTCACTGTGGTGGTGGGCATGGGAGTATATATTTGGGTGGACCTAACTGTCCATAAATTAAGCCTCAATATAAGTTTATTTAAAAATCTCTTAAAACAGCACATAAAAGAAAAATGAATTAGTTAATAAACCAAAGTTTAAAAACATGGTCATATAATTGTTACATCAAAGAGAAAAAATTCTACCTGGTTTCCAAAAATCAATTTTTATGGGATTTTACTTTGAATTTCCTCAATGTGTGGAAATATAGTCAGCATTTATCTACCACAAGAAAGTCTTCTGAAGGGAGATAACAACATCCTAGGACTAAAATTTCCACAATTTTTCATACACAATGACTGATACTGTATCTTAAATAACCAGGCATATGAGGAGACAAACTAATTTTAAAAAAAAAGGGGAAGGGATGTTCTGGTCAAGGTGGTGGTATCGGTAAAAATGGTACTCAAATCCTCCCATAACCACATCAAAATTACAGCTAAACTACAGAACAATCATCATACAGAACTTCCTGAAATCTAGCTAAGCAGAAGTCCTACAACTAAGGATACAAAGAGGCAGCCACCCTGAGACTGGTAGGAGGAGCACAGATACAGGACAGGCTGGTCCCATACCCACATGTAGCAAATAAAAATCAGAAGGGCTATCTCAGCTGTGGAAGTCCCGCATGAGGAGCAAGGAGTCTGAACCCCACACCAGGCCTCCGGCCCAAGGGATCCAGTGTCAGGAAGAGAAGTCTCCTTAACTTCTGTGAAAATCAGCAGGGATTGTGGCTGAGAGAGATGGAGGGCTTCTGGAATCCCAGATGTTCCTTGTAAAGGGCCCACACATGGACTTACTCAGACTCATTTGCTCTAAGCTCCAGGGCTGGAGCAGCAGCTTGAAAGGCACTAGGGACACACAGGGAGAACTGAATAGTCTGGTGTCAGGGTGAGGGCTGGAAAGGCAGCTTTCTCCCAGCCAGAAGCGCTGGTAGAGGCCATTGTTCCTTTTCTGGGGTCTCCCCACACAGAGTTGATAAGTGGGACCCATATCAGAGTCTCCATCAACTTAGCTAACCCTACTGGCCCTGTCCTGGTGATCCCCTGACACCCTATTCTACCCAACTTTCCTACCCACCCAAGCTGTTTCCAGTGGCTTTTCAATACGAATGGCCTGTCTTGGCTCACACTTGCAACTTTCCAAAAGTCTCAAACAAGCAGCATCTGACCTTGATGTGTGCTATATCTCTGGCTAAGTGGAACCTGGACTAGCACTAGTGGCAGTCGGCCTTGGTTCACAGCTTGGCCTCTCCTAGGCACCTCCAAGCCCAGCACAAGTAGCAGCCATCTGTAGATTGCTTTCTAGCTCATGCCAGGTGGCCCATGGCAGTGCACAGGTGGTAGCTGACCTTGGTCTGAACCTTCTGGGAAGGCCCAGAGCCAGTGTACGCAGTGGACAGCTCCAGACCACGTCAAAGCACCACCTAACCACCTCCACAAGAAACACACTCAAGGGGTAGACTCAGTGGGCTGAAGTAAATCCTGTCCTGTTATGTGGGCCTCTTCACAGCAGACCCTACATACACAGTAGCTGCCACCAGTCCTTGCATCTGATTGGCCTGATGGTAAATCCCTACCTTTGACATGCCAACAGCAATTGCGTCTCAACTATACAGAAAGGTATACACAGCCTGCAAAGGGGGTGCACCTTGGAGTGGCCAGCTCAGGTGATCAAGGAGGCTGTGCTATGAGACCCTACAAGCACACATAATACATAAGGCCACTCTCACAAGCCCAGGAGACATAGAGCTCTACTTAATATTTAGAAACAAACACAGGGAGGTGGCCAAAATGAGAAGAGAAAGAAGTATGTCCCAAATTAATGAACAGAACAAAATTCCAGTAAAGAGCTAAATGAGGTGGAGACAAGCCATCTACCAGATGCAAAGTTAAAAATGCTAGTTATAAGGATGCTCAATGCACTTAGGGGAAGAGTAGATAAACTCACTAAAAACATCAACAAAGAGATAGGAAACATAAAAATAGAGATAGAAAACATAAAAAAGAACTAGTCAGAAATGAAGAATACACTAATTGAAATGAAGAATAGATTATGGGGAATCAATAGTAGAGCAGGTGCAGCAGAGGATCAAATCAGAGATTTGGAAGGCAAGGAAGCAGAGAACATCCAAACAGAACAGCAAAAAGAATTAAAAAAATGAGGGTAGCTTGAAAGAGGCCTCTGGGAGAACATCAAGTGTACCAACATTCGCATTATAGCAGTGCCAGGCGAAGAGAGAGAGCAAGGAATTGAAAACCTCCTACTTGAAGAAATAATGATGGAAAACTTTCCTAACCTGGTGAAGGAAATAGACATACAAGTCCAGGAAGCTCCAAGAGTCTCAAGTAAGATGAACCCAAAGACGCCTTCACCAAGACACATCGTAATTAAAATGCCAAAGGTTAAAGACAAAGAGAATCTTAAAAGCAGCAAGAGAAAAGCAGTTGGCTACTTACAAGGGTGCTCCTATAAGACTGTCAGCTGATTTCTCAACAGAAACTTTGCAGGCCAGAAGGGACTGGCACAAAACACATCATTTCTTACATATGTTGCTATGTACTTTATAGTTTCTAACAGTATTTCCTTTAATTATTTGCTGCTGATGCATAGGAATAAAACTGAATTTTGCATATTAACTTTACATCCATTCACCCTTTTAAATTTATTATTTTAATAATCTCTTTGTATATGTCTTTGAATTTTCACTGTAAATAACAGCTTCCAATAGTTACAGCTTTGTTTCCTCATTTTCAATCAGGTCACACTGTACTGGCTATAATCTCACTACAAAGTAACAAATGAATGCATAAATAGTAAAGATGGGTAACCTACTGTATGTAGGTAGGAAACTTACCACCTCAA